GGAGGAGGAGGAGGAGGAGGAGGAGGGAGGAGGAGGAGGAGAAGAAGAAGAAGAAAGATAACGGAGAAGGGATATTAACGGGGAAAGAGACGGATTGTCACCCCGGAGTCATTTTTCCAATATTATAAGGTACCTCGAAGTATATTTTAAAAAATAATGGGACCTGCGAGTTCTTATTACAAAACTAAGGATACCCAGTAGCAATTTTTTGCGTAGTACAGAGTGATAAATTACTAATCATGTTCCTACAACGCATTAAGGCTTTGTTTGGCACCCTCTAATTGATATTTTTACCAAGACTACTATTACTTACTCCGCTTGTCCCAATTTAAATTGCTTGTTTCAATATACAATGTTTGACTAAAAATATTTTCAAATCATTTTATATAAAAAATGGTATACAATTAAAAAAATAAAACTTACATATTTAAAAACTAGGATAAAAGATTTACAAAACTAGTGTGACATGACTATAATTTTATCAAATGATTAATTAAAAATAGAGATATAAAATGAATAAAGTTTGACCTTGTGAATAGTAAACATGTAATTTAATTTGGGACAAAGGGAGTATTATACATTTCTTCCTCCCCAAATATATGAAATTCTAAGCTACTCGTACTATTCCAAGGTCATGATATTTTTTGTTTAGTTATGTGTTTTTATCGATCACTCGATAAAATAATACAAAGTATACTCATATCATATTTTATTTTGTAATACTTTTGATTTAGTTTTTAAATATGCAAATGTTGTTATTTATCTATATACCAAATGTCAAGTAAAATAAGTTTTTAAAAAAGACTTTTTTTACCTCATAAATCCCTCAATGAATTTTGATTTGTGAAAGGGGAGTATTTATTACTCCCTCCGTCCCGCTATATTAGTCCACTTTTGACTTTTGAAACTGTTCATCTAAGCACTTTGACTCATCAAATTCTTTCAATATGTAAGCCTAAATATAGTCATGCGTGATCTTGTTTGATTTGTCTTAACATATAGATTATTAATATATAATTTCTATAATTTTTTAATATACAAATTACAAGATAAAATGGATTAAAGAAGTGTATTGGATGGTGTTCAAAAATGAAAGTGGACAAATATAGTGGGACCGATGAAGTATTTATTTATTTATGCAATAAATAATTACTTCGTATATGTTTATTTATTCAAAAAATTTATATACAAAGACAAAAAAATGAAAAAATATTTTATTTTGTCCAATTTATATACTCATAGCAACTTTTCATATTTCGACTTTTCAGACTCAAATAATCAACTTTAGCAAGTCAAACACTTTATTTTGATGTTTGACTCATCAAAACAACCAAATGTCATTTCTAAAGCCATAATCCAAACATGCATGTTGTCTATTATTGTAGTATAATACTCTATATAAATTTCAAAGATACTTTACTTTTATTTACTCTGTAAATATTAATAAGTTAAGAAGCGTTTCTCATTAATTCAAAAACGCGTTTTTTTTACTTCTCCTTTCTTGAAATTCTCTACAACTAAATATAGTGTTTGCCAACGTTCCACAACTTGTTTCCACAACATATCTTTCTCCAAATTCCAACTTTGCCCAAAAGTTACTACAATTTACCCATTCTAATAAATAATTTTTCAAAAAACATGATCAATAATGGCAAAGAAAAGCCATTTTGTACTAAAATTGGGTGGGTATAGTATGAAATTAAGTGATAAAAGAGGGAGGATGTATGAAGACGTGTTCCTTTGATGGCCCTACTTATTTCTTCCCTTCTCTTTGGTCCTAAAATGACCAATTGACATGACTCTCAATCAGTCCATTGAGGTAGTTGAATTGGTTTTATTATGAGAAATTCATTTAATTTGATCTAATGTTATAAGTGCATGTTTGCCCATCCAAAAAAAATCTAAGAAAATAAATCTTTTCATTACATAGAATTTAAACCAGTGGCGGATTAAAAAGTGTTTTTATGTGTTAGTCCTGATTAACTTATTGCTAGAAATTATTTTTATCTTATAACGCTTTTTATTGATGTGCTTTATATTTTTTCTAAACTGACTTAGATGAGAGATGAGTCATTTGAAAATGTTTATAAAAAAGGTTGCATATAGTTTTGGTCAAAACAAAAAAATGAGTTAAAAAATAAATAGGTAAAATCTACGGAGTATTACTTAATTTTGTGTTATAAACTTATAAGCATAGAGAAACGTGTTTATCAACTGATTTATGCGTTAAAAAACAACAAATAAGTAAGCACATACAACCACAACACCTACTAAGAGAGATTTTTTCCCAACTCACAATTATCTATTGATTTTGATGTAATTGTAAATATAATAATTAAAAAAGGACAAGCGAAAACAAGAGAAAATAATGTAAAAGAGTTCTTTTTATGGAAAGTTTACATGAGCTGAAGTAGGAAAGTGGTGACTATCTGCTGAAGTAAGAAATTTGTCTTTCTTGGACCACATCCAAATCTTTGAAACAGAAAAGCTCTCCCCTTTACTCCTAATGCCAATCCTCTTCCCATCTCTATCTCCACCATTACTGAAATTCCCATTCTGCCCTCCTCCTCCTCCTCCTCCCACCTTCATCTTCCCACCGCCGCCGCCAGCTCCAAAACCGCCCGGTGCCTGGCCACACCACTCCACCCGCAGCTCGGAATTGCCCACCACGTATTGAAAAGAACCCATAGAGTAACACCTCCTCGCGCCCACATTGCACTCGCTGGTCTCTCCCCTTTCCTCTTCTTTCCCTTCACCATTACCTGAGGTCCTGAGCTTTCCCAGCCTCACGGAAAAAACCCGTTTTTCGGTCACAATGGAAAGGGCATTTTCGTCATCTTCAACCGGAATTCCAAGATCCCCAGAAACCACTTCGCCATCTTCTCCAAGCTCATCAAAGTGGAAGATTGGGTTCTCGACGCAGAAATCCGGGGCAAAAAGGACCCCTCTGCAAAGAGGGCAAGTTGAATTTGACAACAGCCATGTATCTATGCAGTCCACATGGAAGGCGTGACTGCACAAAGGAAGCAGCCGGAGATCATCTTGATCCAAGAACTCGCACAGACAAACCGCGCAGTCAAAGGGCTCTTTCAGGCCCATTATGTCCTTGTATGTGAAAACCGGGAGCGCGTCAATGAAGGCCTGGTCCAGGCCAGAGTCATGGAGATGGAAGAGCTGCTGCAGCTGCCTTTGAACGACGAAACTTCCTCCAGAGTGTGGGATTTCATGGGCTGTTCTGGTGGACTGGGAGAATGAGGAAGATCGTCTGCGTTTTGTCAGGAATCTTACAAGAAAGTGGAGAACGCCGGCGATGAAGAATATCACAGATAGGATTACTATGATTAGAAGAAGTGCTGGGCTGATTCTAAAACCAGATGAAGAAGATGGAGATGGTTTTGGTGTGTTAGATTCCCACATCGGAAAATTAAAGACGATGAACATGCCCTTCATGAGCTTAACCAACTGAGAAACTCCTACTCAATCATAAATTTATAACCAAAGAACCAACTCAAGCGAAAGCTAAGGTTTAGGACCTTTGGGTCAGCAAGATCAACAAGACTCTCCAACTCAATCAAATGCTAAGACTCAGGACTGCTATGAATTGGACTGGATGCAAATTGATGAAGAAGATGCATCTTAGAAACATGGGAATCCAAAGAGTTATCACTGAGCTAAACTATTTCTGGATCAAATTGAGTTTTGTTTGTTCAAAAACCCACTAGAAAGAAAGAAAAATCCAATCTTTTTTTTTACAAGAAATTGACAGTAACATCAAAGAAAGGAAGAAATATTGACACCCAGATATGAATTCTCAAGAACACAGAATTTAAATAGAAGAAGAAGAAGGATTTGACAGGATTGCAGTTTACCCGAGCTCAGGCTGCACAACTTGAACTTGGCTGCTTCTAATGGTGTTTTCAAGAAACCCTAGCAGTCCAATTGTAAAGATTTTGAGGCTAAGGCACTTGGGGGAAGAAAATGGGGGGGAGGAGGAGAAAGGAGAGATGCGGATTCTTTGTAAGAGATAAAACTCCCAAATCTGTCACGCTCTTCCCACAAACGGTAGGGACGGTGGAGAAATCATCTTTATTTTCTCTTTCTTTGTTTTNGCACTTGGGGGAAGAAAATGGGGGGGAGGAGGAGAAAGGAGAGATGCGGATTCTTTGTAAGAGATAAAACAAATTATTCCCAATTCTGTCATGCTCTTCCCACAAACGGTAGGGACGGTGGAGAAATCATCTTTATTTTCTCTTTCTTTGTTTTCTCTATTTGCTACTCCCTGCATTTGAATGCCCACTTTTCGTCTCTAATGTTTAACTATAAATATTTTTTAAATGGACATAGAATTAATAAAAAATTATTAAAAATAATACATTAAAAATATATTTTTTAATGCCAATAATTTAGTACGTATAACTTTTATATTTTATGGAGTAATTTATTATACTTCATACTAGTATACTTTTATACTTTTTCCGTCACTAAAAGAATTACATTTTTTATCAACATATATTAAATCTCGTTACTTTTAAAATGATTTTATTTACAAGTTGGAAAAAGAATAAAAATTAAAAAAATTTTATGACGAAGGATCTGGACAAGGTGTGGGTCACTGTATTAAAAATTCAGCGAGCAAAGAGATCGAAAAAAATCAAACAATAAAAGGGATTGAAAGTCATCAATAATAGAATCAAGGCAAGAATAACATTTAAAAAGCTCACCTTGTTGAAATGCATAGACTAGTGTTAGTTATGTTTCCATTTCTTCTATAAATAGAAATGTAAGAGCATTTAGAATGAAAGTAACTCTCTATAAATAGAGATATAAGAGCATTTAGACTCAAGTCACATCATGCAGTATTCCACTAATTTTCAACTCCGCCCCAAAATTCTGCAATGTTATCGCTCTTAAAATCCTGCCTCTCCATTTCTTTAATATTATTTATCATTTTTAATTCAAAACTTATATAAATTTAATACAAATTAAAATTATTTATGGTCAAAGTTAGCATATAAATCAAATTAAAACAAATAGTTTTGCTATTCTTGTTCAAAATAAATTTCAAACTTTTTAAATGAAAGAAGTGTGTGGGCATTTGATTCACAATAGAGAGTACACACTCCTTTTTTTAAAATCTTAAGACAAACTATGAAATTTATAACATAACATAGATTAAATAATTTACTTTAAGACCATAGAATCATATTCCAAAATTCTAAAATATTAAAAAATAAAATGAGTTCTAAAATTTTAATGCTGTTTTTTATTCAAGAAATTTGGAAAGAAAAAAATATTAATTTTTTTCATTTTTCTTACAAATAAATTGTATTTTCCCTCTTCTAAATATGTTTTGTATTCTTACTTTTTGCTTTCCACTCTTTTTATTCACCTTTCAAATTAAATAAAAAAATTATTTTTTTATCCCATTTTGCTCTACTTTTCATTACAAATTCTTTGAACTAAATATATTGTAGATTTAAAAAAATTGAAAAAAAGCCCCCAAAAAATATTTTAAGAAAAGAGAAAAATCTGAAGCGGGAATTTCAAGGGCCACCGCACGGACGCTCCTCTCACTCTCGCAGTCTCTCGCTTAATCCCTAATCCATCTGCAAGCAAAAAAATGAGAGGTGGCAAGTGATTGGCACCGGAGTCAACGTGGCGGAGTGCGGCGGTCGTCGGGACAGACTGGCGGAAAGCTGCCGGCCGGACTTTCTGTTAACCAATATTCAGGTTTACATGTTATCTCATTTCAACAATTTTTTTGCCTTTTGTTGTTGGCTTGTTGCTTTATTGTATAAAATTTAGTTTTTGTATTTGTTTAAATGTTTGATACCAATAAATTGTGTGTTTCATTTCAATTACCGTATAAACTAAAAAACAAATCTCAATTAAATTTTAAAATTTAAATATGAAATTTAATATTTACAGGTTTTAGAAGAGTTCTTCAACATTTTTGGTAGCTAGCCTTCTCAAAAATAATGTTTCCAAAAAAGTACGCATCGGGATGTGAAAAGCGTAAGAAGAAAAGGAGACTTGAGAAATTGATAGAAGCTCAAAAGGGAGCTCTTGACAAATTCGTTATAAAAGATAGCAATGAAGATGAACAGCAAGAAGAAATTAGCAATCTAACAGTTGATGCTGACGAGAATGTTCATGAAGGAGACCGAATTGATAATGATGAAGTGGGAAAATCGATTGGTAATGTTGAAACAGTGGGAAATAATTGTCGGACAAGTGATAAGCCTATGGATTCTGCTTTGTTTGACATATATGATCCTAGAAATTGGAACACACTTGATTCTAAGTCGATAGATGTTTTGGTGAAAAATGGTCCTAAAAGAGATGCATCCATAGTGAAAGGGCCGAAAGATAAGTTCTCTAGGAGATTTTCTTCAACATTTTTCACAAGATATTTGGCTAATCAAGAGCGGATTGATAGAGATTGGCTAGTTTATTCAAATGAGCTTGATAAAGTCTTTTGTTTTTGTTGTAAGATTTTTAAAAAAGGCGGTGGAAGAAGTTCCTTGGTGAACGATGGATTTTGTGATTGGAAACATCTTAACGGAAGGCTAAGAGAGCATGAAACAAGTGTTGATCATATGAGTAATTTGAAAACCTGGAGAGAAATGCGAAGACGATTAACAAAAGATGAGAGAAGTGATAAAGTGGTAGTGGCCCAGGGTCAACTTCTGAAAGAAAAAGAGTGCTGGAGAAAAATATTGCTTAGAATGATCTCACTCGTGAAGTTTCTTTCTAAACATAGTTTGGCATTTCGTGGGGAAAATGAGCGATTGTATGAGAGCAATAATGGGAATTTCTTGGGGCTAATTGAAATGTTGGGCGAGTTTGATCCCGTCATTCAAGAGTACATTCGACGTGTACTGAAGAATGATATTCATCACCATTTTTTGAGTCACAAGATTCAAAATGAATTGATAGAGATGCTTGCTTCAGAGATCAAGACTAGGATAATTGAGAAAATCAACGAATCAAAATATTATTCGGTGATACTAGATTGCACTCCTGATGTGAGTTACCAAGAACACATGTCTTTGATATTAAGATGTGTGGATGTCTCAATATATCCAATAAAAATAGAAGAATTTTTCTTGGATTTTTTGGCGGTGAATGACACAACAGGCAAAGGTCTTTTTGAAGAATTGCAAAGTGTGTTGGAATCTCTTGATCTTGACATTGACAATGTGAGAGGCCAGAGTTATGACTATCGATCAAACACGAGAGGGGAAAATCAGGGTGTGCAGAAAAGACTCTTAGATGTAAACCCTAGAGCATTTTACACTCCTTGTGGTAGTCACAGTCTTAACTCGACTTTGTGTGACATTGCACGTTGTTCGGGCAAGGTAATCGATTTCTTTGGAGTAGTCCAACGGGTTTACTCATTATTTGCTAGTTCTACAAAAAGATGGAAGATATTGACAAATAATGTGAAAGGATTGACCCTAAATTGTTTATCAACTACTCGATGGGAGAGTCGCGTGGAATTTGTGAAAGCTATCAGATTCCAGATTATTGATATTCAAGAGGCCTTGCTTGAACTCGCAGGCACAGAAAATGATGCAAAAACACTAAGCCAGGCGAGATCGCTGGTTGAAAGTGAGCTTTGTGATTTTGAGTTTTTGGTAGCCACAGTTGTTTGGTATGACATATTGTACGCTGTTGATCCGGTTAGCAAGAATTTACAAGCAAAAGACATGCTTCTTGATGTTGCCATTGCTGAACTCAAAGGGCTAATTTCTTTCTTTGAAAAGTACAGGGACAATGGATTGACCAATGCTTTACATGCTGCTAAAGAAATTGCCTCTGAATTGGGAATTGAACCATTGTTCCCACAAAAGTGTGTAATTCGTAGGAAGAAACAATTTGAGGAGACTCATGACATCATTGATGATCCTCATCCACCACCGGCACCAGAGGAACTATTCAGGGTGAATTTCTTTTTATACATAGTAGATCGGTCTATTGGCTCACTGACTCAAAAATTCGAGCAATATAAAGAATTCGAAAGTATTTTTGGGTTCTTGTTTAGTTCGGAGAAGTTACAATCTTTGAGTGATATGGACTTGGAATCTTGTTGCAATCGTTTGGAAACGGCTCTTAAGATGGATGACCAATGTGTTGATATTGATGGGAGTGATTTGTGTATTGAGCTCAAAGTGCTTAGAGAGAAATTACCAAAGGAAAAATTGGGAGCTGGAGGCATACTACATTTGCTGAAAATGATGGGCTCTCTTCCAAATGCTTTTATTGCATATAGAATATTGTTGACTAATCCTATCACATTGGCTTCGGCCGAACGGAGTTTTTCAAAGTTGAAGTTGATCAAGTCATACTTACGATCAACTATGCCACGAGAGAAGCTCAATGGATTGGCGTTGGTATCAATCGAATCCAAAGCGCTTGAAGAAATTGAGATTGACACTTTGGTGGATGATTTTGCATCTAAGTGTGCCAAGGGTAACGTCTCTCTTTTAACATGAAGTTTTTATTGGTACTGAAACTCTGAAAGAGGCAGTGTATGCCCTGGCTTGATTGATGCCTTTGTATCTATATTTTGATAATTGCTCTTTTGCTTTGTTTTGGCTTTTTACTTTTTCTCTGCAAGATGCTATGGAGGATCAATCCTTGTACTCTATTGGGTTTTTGCACCCCATTAAACAAAAAGCTCTCTTTTTTTAAGAAAGAAAATAGTAATGACTTGTATTCTTTTGTACAAGAAACCATGCCCAAAATGAATCTATTCCCCTGGGCCCTACTCTGTATAGGATCGACCCTGGTGATAGGGGCTGGTGGCCGGCGACAGGGTGGCCAGCGGCATGGGTGGTCGGTAGTCGAAAGAGATCAAACTCTTAGATTAGTATATTCAAAATTTGGGAGATATCAAAAGATACAAAACACATCCATTTAGGAGGGTTGTTACATTTGGAGATGTGAAATATGAATCTTGTTCAGACTAAGATCTTGTTCTCTTCACTTGATTTGATTGGTTTTGATCTGATTAGAATATGTTTTGATCTGATCTGCTTTGATTTGATCTAGTCTAATTTGATCTGATCTAATTGTAGTTATATTTAAAAGCTGTTTCTGATCTTGTCTTCTGATTCAAATAAAAATAAGTAATAATAACAAGTTCTAAACCAAACACTCACAAAAAGATTGTGATATTGAGAGAGTGTAGTAATAAAGTTATGAAGTTTTATTTTTCTTTTGGGATTTCATTCAATTCACACACATTCTCTGGTGATTGTATATTTTTAGGTTATATGCCCAGTGTCTTTATTAGTTGGCCATATTGTCCCTCCATGTTTATGGAACTATGAATTATTTATTTATATCATCTGTTCATTGTTAATTATAAATTTATTATCCTTCATGAATTAGGAGGCTACCAATGGATTCATGAAGAAAGGTGCTTCTTTCTTACCCCTGAATTGAGAGCATGCAAAATTTAGTCATACACTTCTCATTGAATGAAAACATTACCAATTGTCTTCCTACCACTTGCATATATTTTCTGCCTATATACAAACAGTACCATGATCTATATAAATATTGTCTTGTTTGGCCTAATATTCCATCCCTTTCATATTAAAGAATTTCACACAAATTAGGACAAATTATATAAATGTGACACTAAAATAATAGCGTAAAAAAGTGTTAGTGGACTTTGATTTTACTGGAATTACGTATCTCTTTTCACACACCAACGGTTTTCTACCCACTCTCGAGTCATGCCCCCACACTTTTAGAGGGATGCTATCATGGAGTATGATTTCTTTATTTTAATCTATCATGGAGTATGATTTCTTTATTTTAATCCCTCACATCTCCTGAGATCATGGGCACCGGGCGAGACAGTTGTCTGCCACGCAAGGTGCCTAGGTTGCCGAGGCATGGGCGTGGCATTACACCCATCAGTTTTTTAATTTTTTTATTTTTTTATGGAGAAAAAAACCTTTTTTGGATGGAAGTGGAATTATCTTTCTGATAAAATGAATAAAAAGGTAATTTTTAATAGATAAAACACAAAATAATATAAAAAATGATAAAAGTAATGACTTGCCAGTACATAGCTTGCCAGTCAAGTGTTGGATCATAATTCTGCCACGGCTTAAAAATCTAGTTTTTTAGGAAATACACAAAAGACAATTTATTCCTTTCGTCTTAAAATATTCTTCGTACGTCCATTCTGTTTTGTTCATAATTTTTTTCTCATTTCTTTTTTGAGCATTGGCAACAGTGTGGCAGAGCATCACCTTGCCCTCAACCTCCTTCCCCTAATCTCGTGGCGTGGCAAAGGCGTGTCACCTTGCTCGCCGATGCATGGGCGTATATCTATGTTTATATTAAAAGATACTTTTGTAAAATAAATTTAATAATAAAAAAACATCAAAAGAGTGTGAAAACTGACAAAAAATGGCTTGTTATTGTATGACATACCGTCACACGCTGATAAGATTATTTTTTATGGATTGAAATAATATTCCACATGACCGTATCATGTTATTTCTGTCTCACCATTCTTAATTACATGGCAAAAGCAGTTTGCCTTACATATATGTCATCAAATTTACCTTTTTACTTTTAATGATTAGCCATCAAATCATCAATCTTTAGCTATACCTTTTACTTAACATTAAACGGATTTTTAATCTCTTATTAAGCAAGCATATTAGGTCAAACCAAGAAGATTTTTTTGGATAGAAGTACTAGTAATTAAGCTAGCAACCTTAATTCAAGCAACAAATAATCATGAGGGTAGGCTACATTATTATTGTTAACTTAGTACTTCACCCCTCATAAATAATTATAATAACAATCAATTATAATCCCTCACATTCAAATCATAACGATACCCATAATTATGGTGATGATGATGATGATGATTATAAGACATGGAGCTGCTACTCTCTCCAACATCCTTGCAGTTATTCATGTTGTCTTCATAGTTATTGTTGTTGTCTTCATACTCCCCTTCATCATACTCTTCCTTGGCCACCATCTCCGGCGGCCGCCCGATGCCGCCGCCCGACGCCGCCAGGTAGTGAGGCGGGAGGGCGGCGTCGGAGTAGTTTCCGGACGACGTGGCGGGGACCACGCTGGGGAGCTTGGAGAGAAGGGCCTCTAGGCTTGTCATCGATGGGGTCACCATCTTCACCATCGCTGCCGGTGGAGACTGGTTGAAGTGGTGGTGGTGGTCGTAGTACTCCGATGGCGGCCCCGCCAGAAAATGCGACGGCGGCCACGGTTCCTGACCGTAGCCGCCGCCGTCAGTCCTCATCGGGTACCCCGATGAGGACGGGTGCGGGAGCAGGACTCCCGGAATGCTCTCTATGTAGTTGAACTTTTTTCTTAGTAACACCACATAGCTCAAGTCTTCAACAACCTAATGATGAGTAATAACCATAGTATGAAAAACATAAACTAAAATGTGTTTAATTAATTATTTGGTCAAAATTAAATTATGAATATATAATACTTTAACATTTTTTTATATTGGGATCAATACCGGTGTTAGGTTCTTGGGAAATGTGGAATTAGTTGCATTGTTAAAAAGGGATATGCTTCCTATCCCTAAAAGATTGTCACAGTTTGATTTTTTTGGTCAAATTATAACATCCTTTGACAACAAATTAATCATAATTTAAAATAATTAAATATTATAAAAATTTGTTATTTAAAACTATATTTTAAAATAAACCTAATTTTACTAAATTTAGATCATAACTAATTATATTTTTTTCCATAATATACTTTCAAAAAGATGTCGCAATTTGACTAAATATATTAGGGGAACACATGATATTGTGGTACAGACAACAGACACCCACGAGCAATGTGTTTTCATGTAACACAATCTTTTTTTTCATTATAGTATATACTCCAATAATTAAATTTGCCAACTTTTTGTGTAAGTTACTCCGTACATTTTTTTAAAAAAAATTGGTACAAGCTCATATTCTAAAAAGAAATTGCAATGAATTTTGTGACCGAGATTTATCTTGAGATTATATTGATAAACAATTGGAAAAAAGGAAATGTAAAAATGTAATGATTTGAATAGCTTATAAATTTATATACTTTGATTAGGGTAAAAATAGATTATTTTGAGAGAAATTAAATGGGATGCATAGATGCAGTGTCCAAGTCTGTTTGATAACAATTTTAGTGTTTAATTTAAAAATATTGAATATATTATTTAGCGACAGCGTTTAGTTTTATTTTGCATTTTAAAATTAGTTTATACTATTAAAAGTTACTCCGTATTTAAAATGTTAATTTGAAATATTGTACCTTATGAACAGCTCCCAATTGGATAACACCTTCTCTAACAGCAATCAAAGCTATGGTCTGCATGAAACCAAAATAACATCATATTCCTCCCTCTCTCAATATTTGTTCACTTTTAACTTCTTTTTTTTTTGTCAAAATTGATAAAATTTGACCTCAAATTAAATATACACACCTTAATGCCGGATCGAAACTGAGCCTCCCAAGTCCTTGGATGCTGTTCCATCAAAATATATAAATTTAAATTAGTGAATTTGCAGTTTGTTGAATAAACTTCATAATCATGCATGATTTCTAAATCAAATATCCTTTTAAATGTCACTCTGTGTCCCTAAAAACTCGCCCTGCATTGAATTTTAAGACATTTTAATGAAGTATATTTTGTTATTAACTTTTCAAAAATATCCTTGAAATTATGGGTAATTAATATATAGATTAATAGTGAATATATATGATGTGACATGCAGGATTAACATAATTATGGATAAAAATAACTTTTTAATAAAATGTGAAATAATATTTTTTCAAACAAATGAAAACCATCGTTGAATTTCCTTCGAAAATGAAAACCAATTGGGTGATCGAGGAAGAAGTGCTCGTAAAAAGTCAAATGGGAAAGATATATTAATATATAAATCAAAACATTAATTAGTGGTCAAATTGTTACACTGAAGATTGTAAAAAAATCAAATAGTAAAAATATAGACACACACTTACAGAATCAGCAGAGGTATGCCATGCAGACAAGAAGCTGATTTCTTGATCATCATTTGGTTCTTTATTATAGATCCATTTATGGCTGTGATCTGCCGCCACTTTTCCTATTATTCTTAAGAAAAAAAATTTAAAAAAACTTAGTCAGAATTTAATTATTCAGAAATATTTATAGTAAAATTTTGTGAGTTACATTTTTCTCATCATAAGAATTGAAAAGAAAATAAAGTACTGCGTGATTTTGTTGGTCCCAACAAATATATATATATATATATATATATATATATATATATATATATATATATATATATATATATATATATATATATTTGTAATAATGTTATTCATCATATTTAAAATTACTTAATTACCCTTCGCCATAGTTGTAGATTTCGTGGGACATCTTGAAGAAGAGCTCCGGCTGAAGCCCTTGGTGGTACTGCTGCTGCTCCTGGTAATTATTATCGTACGCCGCCGCCTGCTGGCCGCCGGCCGCCGCACATTCTTCCGCCGCCGCCGCTGCGAAGTTGCAAAACCCATCTTCCCATACCAATATCCTAATTAAAGCGCGCGTAACAAAAATGAATTGTATACGTGGTGTGACTCTTTTTTATTTTTTTAAAAAAATATCTATAAAATCAAATAAATATCATATATACACAACTCTTGAAAATTAAATTATACTACTTCTGTCCCTGAGTATTTGTCTAGTTTTGACTTTTTTCGGTTAACTGTTTTTAATCACTGACTTTTAATTAAATACTCCGTAAAGTATATATTATATATTAATTAGATTAAATAATATTTTAAAAATATCTAATAAAACTATTTTTGTATCAATATATAATATCATTTTTATTTAATTTGAGGTCAAGGTTTACCAACTTTGACCGAAAAAAGTCAAAAGTGGACAAATACTCAAGGACGGAGGGAGTACAATATATTCATATATATAAATTCAGGAATATTTTTAAATTTTTATTTTTTTGAAAATAAAATAAATAAATAAAGAAGTATTGCATACCAGTTTCTTCTATTGCCCCTTGACCTGTCATAAGCACTTCCTTGGGTGTCCCACCTGCCAAAACAACAGTCAAAGAATGAAAGCTATCATACGAAGTAATTAATCAGTTTCTATCATGAGAATTGAAAATATATAGAAAAAATAAAAGAATAAATAGAGGCATAATATATGTTTAATTGGGGAATAAAGATATGATACAATATAATGAATGAAGATTAATTATTTTGTTAATATATAATAGTAATAATATTAATAAATGAAAATTACTTGGGAGGGGGGTAATTTCTGGGCAAAATTCTCCAGAAGACAGCATAAACCCACTGAGAGTTTTCATGGATACATAAGCTTCTAAGGGTGTGTTGAAGAAGATGAGTCACAGCTAAGGAGCTAAGCTGTTCTTCCATTCTTTTTTCTCTCTTTTTTTTTCTTTTCTTTTTAAAGTTTTCTTTTTTTTTCCTTTCCTTTTTCTCTTCAAGACCAAACACACCCTTAGCTCTCCACTCCTTGTCTCCTTTCCATACTCATGTTTCTCTCTCTCTCTTTTCTTTCTTGCAATGGTTTCTCTATATATATTGTGATGTCTAATAAGTAATGCCCTTTACTTTTTTTCCTTTGCTTTATATAAGGCCACCCCATGGGCCCCACTAGTTTAAGTTTAAGTTTTTTATTGCAAATTTGCACAACGTACTACTCCCTCCGTCCCTAAATAAACTTCTCTTTTTGACTTTTTGAGGATTTAAGGGATGGATATTTTTGTGTTGACTTTCCAAAAATACCCTTGATGTGATGTGTAAAAGTAAGATGTGATATGTAAATTATTAGTAAAAAGGTATGATGTGATAGGTAGTGTATGAAAAGGTAAGGGGTAAAAGGGGTTTTTTAAGGAAAAAGAGAAGTTTATTTGGGGACAAAGAAAAAATGAAAGAGAAAGTTTATTTGGGGACGGAGGAAGTATTTTTTTCTATAAAATATCAGCTGATATCTTATATTCGTGAACGTGACAAATTTACACTACGACACGATTAAGTGGTATTTTTTAATTTTTTTTAATTTTGCAAATGAAGAAGTTAAGGATTCATTTAGCTTCTTTTTTATTTTGTTGATTGATTATGTTCTCAGAATCAACAGTTCTAAGATTCAGGAAAATTGCATTAGTATTTGATACTTTTTAGAATTTATAATTAGATAAGAATATTAAACGTATTTAAGAATGAGAATATATGTGTAGAATCAACACTATTCCAGGGTATTTTAGATAATTCTCATAATTTTTTTACTAAATATGAGAAATAAGAAATTGATAAAAATTAATTAGAAAAATGAAAAAGTGGATAACTAAATTTGGTGGGGGAGTTTGTGATATTAGGTCTCATGTACCATCCTATGGAACAAAGGTTATAACTCACCGCCCATCCAAACACGGCCTTAATATCTACATTAACTATTTAAGCACAATTTTCTCATGATTTTACCAAAATCAGGCCGAGTGGGCCCACCTTTTTCTTCTTGCCCTGTTTGGTGTTAGCCAGCAGTGTACCTGTCTACCTTAATTACCCAAGAGTTTTTCTTTTCTTTTTTTTTTGAATTTCATGAAATTATTTTTTGAAATTTGCATTAAATAGTACTAAAATATACCCTCTATTACGTTTCATTTTTTGTGTATCCCATAAAATACTTCTATATCGTCTCAAGTGCCAAAAAAACTTTCAAAACGACTTCTACTCACAATAAAGGATAAATGTGGTAATTTTTAGGCATTTTAAATGTGGGCAAAAGTGTTTTTTGGAATACTCGAAAAAATGAAACGTAACCTTTTTTGGGACGGAGGGAGTATGTCATTTCGCAGCGTAGTACATAAACTCTTTTATTCTCTAAATAGTATTCGAATAATGTCTAGTGACGAGAATAATGTCCAGTGGTGTTGGATATTTAGTTTTAACAATGTCTAGTGGCGGTAGACATTTACTTGAACAATGACCAGCGGCACTACATTAGAAAATAAAACAATATATGGTATTACGTTGGGAAAGTCACTTTGTTTTAGTACTATTTAGGTAAAAATCTCCTATTATTTTTCATCTCAATAATTATTTATATTTTACATACTCCCTCCGTTTGGGAAAACCTTTCCCATTTTGACCAAAGGCTAAATTAAAAAGTGTGAAATTGTAGTTGATCTCCAACTTTGTCCTTGATGTGATGAGTAAAAGTAAAATTTCATGAAAAGATTAATAGAAAAAAAGTATGATGTTCGGTGGAGTAGGAAAAAGAACGGGTGATTTTTTAATAGAAAATGAAATTATTTTACTAAACGGATTAAGTATTATACATGAATGTTAGTTTCTATACTCTTTTGACTTGGGATACCTATGCATGTATATGTATATATTTTTATTCTCCAAAAAATATTTTTTTAATCTAACTTCTCACAGTGTTTAATACTTCAATAAAATATCAATGATTAATAATTGTATTTCTAAAAAAATAAATTTTAATCAAAATTTGGCCAAAAAAGTTATGGAGTAAATTAAATGTAGTTTTTTTGGGTGGGAGTGATTAATATAGTCCTCCGTGAGACTTCGCATATATGGACCAATAGTTCAGCTTAGAGCATAAATTCTATTCCTATGCACCACTCCGGTCCGAGGAGTATATATCCTTTTAGTATAGCAAAATTGTCTATATGTTCAATAGGTTTTTGCTTTTATTTGAAAAATGCATTTTTTTGTCACAAATGCAAATGTTTGTCTAAAAATGCATAATTTTTGGTATTAAAAATGCATATGGTATATATTGATGAAATTTAATATACTACTTATCATAATTATACAAGTCACCATTGGCCCTTCAAGTTATTGTGTCATACATTGTTAATCTTCTAGCTTATAAAATTCCACGTGTAGTGTTCTAGTCGTGTTAGCATTGCACGGTTGGTCCTTCCGTGAACATTGCCGTTAGTCCCTTCATTTTTTCTATTTCTCATTATAAATACATGTGAGAAACCGTCATTTTCATATAATTGAGTCATATTTTATGTAAATCCAGTTCAATTGAAATTTTAGCTAAAAGATTAATCCTGCTTGGATGCAAAAAATCAAAACTTGATAAACACTTTAAGACAAAGTGTGTATTTTTTTTAAAAAAAATTAGATTAATAAAAGCAAAAGTAACTTATTATTAAAATAATTCGAGTAATAAAAGTAAGCGTAACTTATTCTTTTTAAAAAAAGTGAACCTATTTTAAATATGGTTCAATTGTGCGAAGAAGAGAGAGTTCCTCACAGCAGTATTTATAATGAAAAATAGAAAAATGCATAGACTTGCGGAAAAAACCATTGAAAGAAGCAACTCTGCAATGCTAACATGACTTGAAGAACTGGAATTTACGAAGTTGAATGACCATTGCTGCATGATGCAATAACTTGAATAAATGATAAATTTTATCCATAATTCAACTATATATAGAACAAGTTAATTAAAGTTATTCCAAAAAAAAACCATAGTCAAACACTTTTAATAAATAACTCTTTGCATGAGCAGACATTTAAAAAGTTGAATACATTATCTAGGCTAGTTTTAAAATTCAAAAATGAAATTGATATATAAATACGGAGTATAAAATAAATACCCTACTATATTATACTCTAAAATGAAAATCATCATCTTGATATGATGATGGGTACAAATATTTGTGGTACTAGAAGTGGGGCACTTAAAATGATAGATTTGAAGAACTTTTGAGTGGTTCAATAAAAGATTCAAGAATGTGTCTACTCCAACTACTATACAAATGCATTTTTTCTCTATAATAATTGTTGGGAAGACCATACTATGTTTGCACTAATGGATGTATTATTTTTTGCTTTCTTTATATATATATATATATATATATATATATATATACACACACATACATACATAGATACACACACACACACACACACATATATATATATATAATGCCACCCATTCTGACACTGAGCACCACTCATTTTTAGTCCCAGCAAATTACTTACCATTTTCATCCATTTCTCTCCTTCATATGCCACTGGAAAACTAACTACTGCCATTCTGATTTTCTTTTGTTTTTTTGATAATAAAAATCATTATACTCACTAGTTTTTATTTATAATTTTTTTTAAAACTATCATAAGATGGATTGATTTCTAATTCTACAGCTAAAAATTATTCCCTCCAATAAAATTATTGTCTGTGGTCTTACTCTGTGGGCCATTATGTTTCAAGCACAGAGGTTTAAAAAAAACCATTGTCAAAATTAATAAAAATCCAAAGCCTAGTGCCCATTCCCCCACATATAGTGCCATTTCAACATGAAGATGACAGTTCCAGGAAGAAAAGTGCAAACAACTGTTTATCTTCTTCTTTTTTTTAATAAATAAAACAAAGTTTTTTTTTCTCTTTTTCATTTTCTTGAATTGGAAAATCATAATATAGAAAATAATCTAGAGTTAGTCATGCTAATTAAAGTAACCCCATTGATGATCCGATAAATATCTCGTAGACAATGATTGTTTGTACGTCACGTGAATGCATGTATAGCAAATTGATAGTATGAATCTTCGTGTCATTTCGATAGGGACGGCCTAAGGGTGGGCAAGGTACCCTACAAGCTCAGGACTTGTTTTTTCGGATGCCCGATATTTTTAATTTATAATTATTAGTCACCCTGCCCGTCCTTAAAGCCGCCCCTACCTCAAATCAAGCTCAAGGGCTTGATCATATACATGCAAGTCCAAGAGCAAAACTTGCAATGGACCAAAGGAACTTTTGCTTGCTTATCAAATGCCATGACAACTATCATGGAACAAAGAACACGTTAGAGGCCTAACAATGACAAAGAAATATTAAAAGCTCTCTCTTAAATGTCAATGTTAAATTCGGCGTTGCAAAAATGAAATTTGACATGATGTGAAAGAAGTTTGGCATCAGTGTCATTTTTTGGTTGAATTGGTTTCTTCTTTGAGTCATGCACATGAAATCTCAATTTTTAGAAAATACGGAGTAGTTGACAGTGAAATGCGAACTCGTGACCTAGCCTCTTGATCACGAGACACTAATATAATGTCAAGGAACCGATTCAACCAAAAACTCAATTACGCTTATAGTTAGGCCTAGAAAATTTTTTTATATTCTAAAAATATAGGAGAGTATATTTTTACCCTTTTCCAATATTCACTCACTTAGGAGAGTATAATTTTACTCCTTTGGCATGTGCATGAAGAGTACATATATTACACATTTGTTTATAAAAAAAGAAATGTTGAAAAACAACATTAATTTGGCAAGCATTTCTTGTAATTTTCGTTGGTAATTAAGCAAAGAAAAATGGTCATCCAAAGAAATGAAAAAGACCCATTTCCCATTGGGAATAATTAAACCAAATGGGATTCTTGTGCCCTATATAATTAACCTCTTGTGTCATTTATAGATCAAAAGAAACAAAACAAGCTAACATGATGCACTCCGTACACTTGCAGAAACTAGTCAATCCCAAACACAGAAAAAATAAGCACCAAACACCTCAACATTTTAACTCGTTTTTTTCTCATCTTTACTTCTCTTTTGAGCTGTGCTAAGAGAACGGTCAAGAAATCAATCCAACCAAAAACTTAAGCTTGTGTTTGTGGCACAGGAGAAGTTATTCATACTCTATTACGCCCCCTCACGTGCAGGCGTAGTTTTTTCGAGCCTTTCACGTGAAACCTTAATTTTTTTAAACCAGGGTGACACTAAGTTTCGAACTTGTAAGTTTTTAGTCAATAAAATTCCGATATCATGTCAAAGAACCAATTCAACCAAAAGCTCAAGCTTGTGGTTGTGGCACAAGAGAAGTTATTCATACTCTAATAAGAACCCCAAATATTTTGACATCATTTTGACACCCAATTTCTCACTGTGGCAGTTGTCTATGCACACACGGAGAATTATACATTGTCTGTGTGTCTGTGAAAAATAAAACGTGTTTTCTCCCTTCTCCTTTTGAGTTGTACGTATATGCCACGTGAATTCCAAATGTCTGACATCATTCTGACATCCAATTTTTCACAAACAAACACAGATAACAATTATCTATATATGCACATGCACAGATAATTATACATTATTCGTATGTGTCTCTTAGAAACTTGATGTCGAAACGGTGTCAAACTCTTGGGGTCCCCAAACATTTTTAATTTGTCCTTTTTTAAGAGCCTTACAGCTAAGGTTGCACGTACTTATAATTACGTACACAACATAGATTAATCATGTCACATTATATCACAATGTGTCACCTTTTATATATGTCTCCTCTGCACTCTGCTCCTTCCACCATTTCTATGTATACAATTATTTGACTTGGCCCTCGTACCATATATGCGTCTGTACATATATATATACACAACCCTACACTACCCATTTTTTGCCCTAATAATATCCCCTAAACCCTAAACCCAAAGCCTACCCTTTTTCATATAGTAGTATTGGATTATACTTGCTCCGTATCATAAATATGTTCCCATTTTGACTTTTAGAAAATTTAATGGAGGGATATTTTTGTGTTGACTTTCCAAAAATACCCTTAATGTGATGGATAAATCATTAGTAAAGAAGTATGATTTGATAAGTAGGTAAAGAATTAGTAGGAATAAAAGTAGGTTTTTAATTTAAAAGGGAATGATTTTATGGGACAAGGAAAAAAAGAAAGGGAAAAGAGTTTTTGGAACGAGGGAGTATTATATATTATATTTTGGTGCGTGATTATGTTGAAAAAGAATGAACAGATATTACATTATAATAGATCGAGTTAATAGTACTCAAAAAAACTATTCCCTCTGTTTCACAAAACACTTCCTACCCTAATATCTTACGCATCTTTCAAAACACTTCAACCCCACTTAGAATGTCTAAAATAGACTTTCATTTTGTAATTTATTGCAGGTAAACATTATTCTGAGAGCGTTTTAAACATTTTAGGCGGAGTAGAACTGTTTTATGGGGTGCGTGAAAATTTAAAGCGGAAGTGTTTTGTGAAGCTGGAAGTAATAGTTATTAGGTGGCATGAGTTTAAGAAAGTGTGAAAAGGAAAGTTGAGTTTGGTAGTTAGTGGAAAATAAAAGAAGGAAGAAATTTTATCAGAGAAGATGATGATTTATGTGTGGTCTTCTCATCAACTGTTAGTACGTTTAGTACTTTCTTACATATCACTCTCAAAACAAGAATACAAATATGCATTCCCACCACACCAAACACTCTCAATCTTAGGTCCATTTGACAATAATTTTAGTGTTTAGTTTTAGCATTTTGAAAAATATTATCTAATCGTAACATTTTTAGTTTGACGATTTTCAAAATTAATTTACATTGTTAAAAGATCACAGAATATTGTAGTAGTATATAGTTATATATACAAGAACAACAACCCAGTTGAATCCCACTACAGTAGTTTATTTAGAGTATATTTAGAGCATTAGTTAGGTGAGGGATGAGTGGATGAGCTTTGGTCAAGGGCATCACTGCCCATTCCAAGTTATTCCTCTGCTGTGGAAAACTCCAACTCAGCACAAGAAGGCTTTGCCTCAGCTCTGATTATTTTGGCCTGCTGGAATTATTTTATTTATCCAAAACCATCCAAGAATTAAAGGGACAAAAAAAAAGAAATATAATAATGATGTACTAAGGACCGGTTTGGTGAGTGCGGAAGATATGAAATCTGATATCTCCCGATACTAGAATTTTTTTTGTTTGTGTTACGTGGAACCTACACAAAGATCGGATTTAATCTCTTAATACCACAATTTATGTTTTGAAATTGAGTGTTTTTATGTCTCTCGAATTTAGAGTCGACATCAAATCTTGTTTGGTGGTGTGTGGGTCCCAATTCGATCGGGTCCTTACGCCCATGCGTAGGTTAAGCCCGGCTTAGCCTTGTAAGGTTACGATCGGTCACAAATAACTTCATTAAATCCATGATTCAAGATCGGACTTTTTTCTCTCGAAATTACATGACGCATCACAGATTTGAATACACGACCGTACCGGTCCTCTAAAGCTTGGCCCGTAACTTCGAGTTGAGATGCACCTGACTTGGTCAAAGCCAGGTTATACTTATCCTTTGGAATATGTACCATGTATCTCAAGTTTAATAGCCAAAGTTAGTGGATGCCTTGGGCGTGTATGGGAACCATCCTAATAGTCGTTTGTCTGGGTGTGCTTGTGAAACACTATGGTGTCACAAGTGGTGTCATACTCGGTGTGCCCTTGACTCTTTCCATCCTTTTTCATATGACAAGTTGGGCACACTAGTATCAAAAATCAACTAACCCCAAGGAACGTATCCCAAAATGTACACCAAAACTATGGACTAACATTTCGATGGTTCACGCTGTCACAATATGTTAGTGCAGTTAAAAAAATTTTGCCCTATCATTTTGTGCATGTGTGAACCATCACACTAATATCACACAGACAAAAGTGCATACCTCTGGCCTATAATTTGGGGTATAAGTAGCTTAATCGATCAAAAAAACTTGGGGACCCTAAGAATACACACCAAAACAAACACAGACACTCAATATCTGTCCACGCACCCCACCAATATACACAAAGCTTGGGGAAGGAGAGAGCTCGAAAGTGACCCATAATCATGGTTTTGATGGGATAGGCATCTTATAAGAGAGAGAAAAAAGAGAGGTGGTTGTGTGTGTGTGTGATTGATGGATATGAATAGATCCATTTTGACATTGATATTGGTTGAGTCCCACCCCCCACCTTACATATAAAAATAGTACCATTCCGTAATATAATAAAAAAGTGGAGAACGCCATCCCACTCTTCCACTCCCTCTGGTTTTGGCCCCGTACAAATGCACTCCGTCCTCCTCTGTCTCTCATTGCACAGTTAGCAAAGGTAAAGAGTGCCAAAGAAGTAAGACCCGAGTTTGATTTCTGGAAACTATGCTAAGTAAGAGCCTCTACACATACCAAATACAGACTCCACATTTTGCCATCAATCTGCAATCAAAGTCTAATTTACTTCTTCTGAATGACTGTTACGCATGGGGTGCATGGATCCCAAGATGGGGACATGGACGAGCAGAATAAGGCAACGGGCCGAACCAAGGACAATCGGGCCGAAGAAGAAAAGGTACCAGCCCAGGAAGAACGTGGGCAGCCGCGAAGTCAACGTCGGAGGAAAACACCGGGATGGCACGGTGATTATGTTCTAAAGTAAATTATTTTATTATTTTATTATTTTATGTAATAGATTTTCTTAGGTGGACGTATTATAAGTCCCTTCAAGGGTTTTCTTTTCGGTTCTTTCCCTTGACCCCTTTTTTGAACCGACAGGGTAGTGTAGGGTTAGGGTTTCTCAAATACTATAAGTACGGGATGTACTCTCTTGGTTTCATCATCTAATAATCAAAAACCCTAATTTCCTATTGGAGTTTGGAGGCACTCGAAGCCCTCCCCTATTCTTCTCGTATCAAGGTGCTCTCGTTGAGAGACATGACTGACGCATCGTCCACCACGCATGAACTCGATTCTAGGGTTCGCGAGATGGGACACGCCATGGTGCAGATGCAGAGAGATTTGGAATTCAGGTTCGAGAGGCTTGACGGGGCTCTGGCTACGATCCAAACTGCCGTGGCCGGCCTCCAAGCAGGCGGCGGTGGCCGAATAAGGCGGCACCCAGATCACCACGAAGGCCCTAGGGGCGGCGGGTTCCAGACGCCAAAACCTAAGCTAGAGCCGCCCAAGAGCGACGGCACAGAACCCCTGCGATGGTTGTATCAAGTGCAGGAGTATTTCGCCTACTACGAAACACCTCCGGAGGACCGGTTGCGATGCGTCACCATGATGCTCGAGGGACTAGCAGCCGATTGGTTCCGATGGCGAAGGAATAACGGACTGCTCAGAGATTGGGACGACTTTGTAGCAAAATTCAAGCTCCGGTTCGACCCATTGCACTACGTAGATTATGTCGGCCAGTTAGCCCGCGTGCGGCAGGTGGCGGGGGTAATGGAATACCAGGGGGCATTCGAGAAGGTACTCACCCATGTCACTGACGTACCCGAACCCTACCTTCAATCGTTGTTTCATGCGAGCCTGAAAAACCACCTACAACATGAAATTAGCCTTTTAAAGCCCGAGACATTGTCGGAGTCTTTTGCCTTGGCCCGGGAGTTGGAGGCCAAACATCAGGCCATCGTGCAATCGGTAGGGATGAAGAGCGCATCATGGAGCAACAACTTCACGCGTAATAGCCCCAATCGGGCAGCAACAGAAGCATCGGTGGGGTCCGTCAGCAAACCTAATCCGACGGGAGGTGGACCCAAAACCCTGTTAGAAGGCCGAGAGACCTCCACCTCACCACCCGTCAGACGACTCACCCGCGCAGAACGATTGGAGAAGGACACGAAAGGGCTATGTTACAATTGCGACCAAAAGTGGCACAAGGCGCACAAATGCGGACGGTTTATCCTGATCATGGGGGAAGACGAAGGAGAAGAGGAGGACAGCGAGAAGGAGGAAGAGATTGAGGTGGCAGCCGATATTTCAAGCCTGAATAGTATGGCAGGCGTCACCACTCCGCGTTCGCTGCGATTGACGGGGAAGATTGGACAACAGGGGCTGGACGTACTCATTGACGGGGGGAGCACGCATAATTTCGTACACCCCCGCACAGTGGAGAAACTTGGACTGAGCCTCGAGGCAGTAGCGGCATTCCGGGTGTACGTGGGGAATGGAGACTCATTACGCTGCACTCAGCAATGCCGAGAAGTGGAACTTGAGCTGCAAGGAACGACATTTAAAGTGGACCTCTATGTCCTTCAAATACACGGGCATGACATAGTCCTCGGTGTCCAATGGTTGAGGGGGCTGGGGCGAGTCTTGCACGACTACGAGCGGGTGACGATGGAGTTCGACTGGGGTGAACAAACGGTCACCCTACGGGGAGATGCCGTACTCCCAAAGCAAACCTCCCTCCACCATCTGCGGGAATTGCACACCCGACACGAGGTTGATGCCGGGATCATCATCATGGAAATACAAGCCGGGGTAGCAACAGAAGAAGGGTCCGGCGTGGAACAGGAAGGGATACCGAGGGAAATTGCAGAACTCTTGGAGCGATTTGAAGAGGTATTCCGTGAACCAGAGGGGCTGCCTCCACACCGAACATCCGACCATCGCATACACTTACAACCCGGCGTGGCTCCGGTGAATGTACGGGCCTCTCGGTACCCGCACTTCCAAAAAGAAGAGATTGAACGGCAAGTGAGACAGATGATTGAACAGGGGATTATACGACCGAGTAGGAGCCCATTCTCATCGCCGGTGTTGCTAGTACGAAAGAAGGATGGAACTTCTGTTTTTGCGTGGATTATCGGCTCTGAACACGGTGACAGTTCCCGATCACTTTCCCATCCCCACGGCAGATGAGTTGTTCGACGAGCTGGGGAAGGCCCGGGTATTCACGAAATTGGATTTACGGTCGGGGTACCACCAAATCCGGATGAATGACAGGGACATCCACAAAACGGCTTTCCGGACGCACGAAGGGCATTATGAGTTCCTGGTCATGCCCTTCAGCCTCACCAACGCGCCGTCAACGTTCCAAGCCTGCATGAATCAACTATTTGCCACCTATCTACGCCGTTTCCTAATTGTGTTCTTCGACGACATCCTAATCTACAGCCCGACCATGGAAGAACATCATCAACACCTGGAGCAAGTATTCTCTCTTTTACAGAATAGTCGCTTCTACATCAAGCGATCGAAGTGTACGTTCGGGGCCGAACAGGTTGAGTATTTGGGGCACATCGTCGCAAATGGGGTGTTGAAGGCAGACCGGGCCAAAATTTCGGCCATGGAGCAATGGCCCCGCCCAAACACCCTTCGGCAGCTGAGGGGATTTCTTGGGCTTACGGGGTATTATAGGCGCTTCGTCCGACACTACGCCCAGATAGCCGCACCCCTGACCGACCTACTTAAAAAGGATGCCTACGTGTGGTCAGCAGGAGCAGAGGCTGCATTTGAGCAACTAAAGAAAGCCATGACGACAGCCCCGGTCTTGCGACTGCCTGATTTTGGGGAAAAATTTGTGGTGGAGACCGACGCATCCGGCACCGGGGTAGGGGCGGTCTTACTTCAACAGGAGCAACCGGTCGCGTATTTTAGCAAGAAACTCAGCCCGAGGCGAATGGCAGCATCGACATACCACAAGGAATTGTATGCAATTGTGGAGTCGGTGCAACGGTGGCGACAATACTTACTAGGGCGGGAATTCTTGATTCGTACCGACCACCAAAGTTTGCGAGAGTTACTACAACAGGTGGTCCAGACTCCGGATCAGCACTTTTACATCCGAAAACTCTTGGGATACCAGTTCAAAATAGAGTACAAACCGGGGGCAGCCAACCGCGTGGCCGACGCCCTTTCACGGCGGGACGAGGCTTATCAAGCTGGGCAGCAGCTCCTGGCAATTTCCTCACCTGTGCCGGACCTAATGGAGGAAATACGACGGGAAAACACCACCCAGCCGGACCTCGTTGCACGCCACCAGGAGCACCGGGCGCGACTGGCCGAACCCTATTCGGTTACGGATGGGGTCCTATACTATAAGCGGCGGGTATGCGTGGGTTCTTCTTCGGCCTTACGACAACAACTTATCCGAGAACACCACGACACCCCACTGGCTGGTCACCCAGGAATTCACCGGACCTTTCTGCGACTGGCACAAAATTTCTACAAGCCCCAGATGAGGACCAATGTCAAGGCCTACGTCCAGAAATGCCATACGTGCCAAACTACCAAGTATTCTACTCAACCGCCAGCAGGCCTACTCCAACCCTTACCTGTGCCTACTCAAGTATGGGAGGACATCTCAATGGATTTCGTCACGGGTCTTCCGCCGTCTCGGGGCTACACAGTTATAATGGTGGTTGTGGATCGTTTGACCAAAGTGGTCCATTTGGAGGCATTACCGGCTGGATTTGATGCCCGTCGCACAGCACATTTGTTCATTGACATCGTGGTAAAACTCCACGGCTTCCCGAAGACGATTGTTTCAGACCGGGATCGTGTTTTCCTCAGTAATTTTTGGCGCGAAGCACTGAAGGCCAGCGGCACAACCTTGACGATGAGTACATCGTTCCACCCTCAAACCGACGGGCAGACAGAAGTCATGAATCGGGCAGTGGAGCAATACTTGCGGGCCTTCACGCAAGATAAACCAGCACGGTGGACAGTACTACTACCTTGGGCCGAATATGCCTTGAACACAAGCATCCACTCTGGCCTAAGGGTCACCCCCTTTGAAGCATTATATGGACGACCTCCTCCGTCGTTCCTACCGTACCGCCAGGGGGAGAGCAAGGTGCAGGAGGTTGACAATTTTTTGCAGGAGCGTGACGCTTTACTACGACGGTTGCGAGAGAATTTAAAAGAGGCACAACGGAGGATGACTACGGCGGCAAACAAGCACCGGACAGATTTGAAGTTCAAGGAGGGCGAGTGGGTACTGTTGAACCTGCAACCTTATAGACAACACTCTGTTGTACGACGGAGTTCGCAGAAACTGGCACGGCGGTACTACGGCCCCTACCGCGTGGCAGCCCGGATAGGGGAGGCTGCCTACCGATTAGAGTTACCGGCGGGGTCGAGAATCCATCCCGTGTTCCATGTTTCTCTTCTACGACCTTACTATGGAACAACGCCGGAACAAGACCACATCACACTGCCAACCGAATTTGTGCATGGGCAGCCCTTATCCGAGCCTGTGAGGATCCTCGCCGAGCGACAGGTACTAATCCGAGGAAAGCTAGTGAAGCAATGCCTGGTGGAGTGGACTGATGGGGGCAGTGATGACGCTACTTGGGAGCCCTACGACCGGCTTCGGCAACGATTTCCCACGCTTCACCTTGAGGACAAGGTGGTTTCGCAAGCGGCGGGGAATGTTGCGCATGGGGTGCATGGATCCCAAGATGGGGACATGGACGAGCAGAATAAGGCAACGGGCCGAACCAAGGACAAACGGGCCGAACCAAGGACAAACGGGCCGAAGAAGAAAAGGTACCAGCCCAAGAAGAACGTGGGCAGCCGCGAAGTCAACGTCGGAGGAAAACACCGGGATGGCACGGTGATTATGTTCTAAAGTAAATTATTTTATTATTTTATTATTTTATGTAATAGATTTTCTTAGGTGGACGTATTATAAGTCCCTTCAAGGGTTTTCTTTTCGGTTCTTTCCCTTGACGCCTTTTTTGAACCGACAGGGTAGTGTAGGGTTAGGGTTTCTCAAATACTATAAGTACGGGATGTACTCTCTTGGTTTCATCATCTAATAATCAAAAACCCTAATTTCCTATTGGAGTTTGGAGGCACTCGAAGCCCTCCCCTATTCTTCTCGTATCAGTGACGATGTAGCCATATCTGAAGAGGCCCTCAGAGATGAGACTCATTCTTTTACTTTCCCTCAGATAGACACATATCATAAACTCAGCTCAAAAAAGAGAAAATTTTAGTACTAAAACATGTTCTATATATTGAAATAAATTTTATGATGTTTAATATATTATAAAATATATAATGTCAAAAAGACTATGAGACGAAATATCAACACACAATGCCAGGTTATGACATTTTCTGGCATTGTCCTGTATTGATACTCTTAGTTAAGGATTAAAACAGAAGAGTTTTTATTTTAGTATATAATTAGGTAAATTTCTTTAAAAAACTAATATACCAAGGATAAGAATATGAATTTTTTTCTCCGTTGTGAATTGATTTTCGATTAGAATTTCATGATTCTATATATATGAATATGAAATAATTTCCCATGAGGATGTTATGGATATTGTCTCACATCCCAAACCTTATTTTGATATAAAAAATTGAATGCTCTATTTTTGTATAAAAATATTAAAGGTTCTACTGTATTATTATTATACTTGGTATAAAAAATATTTTTGAGTAAGATAAATAAAATTATGGCAAAAAGTATTTCCCCTAACCACCAACCATGGCTCTCGATACATACTTTTCCACAATTCTTTTCCATCCCAATGATAGGTGTTTCCAACAATGTCACTTCATGCAAGGCAACTGGATTTATGTACTTCTTTCACCTTATTTGATTAACAATGATATTAGGTCACCTTTATTATCAAGGGTGGAACGCCCACCACGAGCGCCCCCACACCCCTGCCCCGATTGGACAATGAGGAAATAAAATCACGGTATAATCTTAGTCTGACCCTTAAAGATATCACACTGCGTCGTCTAATGCGCACAAGGAGAAGCTATTACCAAGATCGAATAAGACTCCCACACTACCACTGTCAAGATTCGATCTTAGAATATTGGATTTGACATTCAGGGCCAACTAAGATATCCATGTGGGCTAGGTCATCTCTATTACTATCTCAGTCTCAGTATATTTGTCTAGTTTGATTCTTTCGAGTCAATTTGGACAAAATTTAATTTTTAGTTATTTTTAATTTGTATTGCATATTAATACAATAAGATAAAATTTCAAAAATTTTCATCAAGATAAATCTAATAAAATAATTTTCATACTAATAATATTACATTATCATTTTTGTTTAATTGAAACTCAAAGTTTATTCTGTTTGACTCGAAAAAGTCAAACTAGACAAATACATTTGTAATATTATTTTTTTTGAAAGAAGGTCATCTTTATGATTATTGATCATAAAGCTAAGGGTACATAAGCACATGGAGGTATGGATGTACGAAGCATAGATATATACTCATCATTCAACTTTGGGTTATAAACATACTTTGTCCACTCCCATCATTTTGGTCCTAGCTAGCCACTCAAAATATTTTCTTTATTCCTCTAAAAAATAAAAAATTATCTAAAAGGTGAAACTTATACTTAAATAAGTTATCCTATATGTTGTATCCTCTAGATAGAAGTATACTACAAACTACCCACAATATGATATTTTATGTATCTTATTACCCTCTGAATATGCCTGTTAATTAGCAATATGAAATGAAAGTAATTTAGTACGGAGTATTGTATATTAATATTTCTTAGTGCTTTTGACATTATATTTTTATATTTTAATTTCTAGCATTACATATTCTAATTTGAGAAAAGAATATAAAAAATTAATTATTTTTTTTAGAGCATATTTTCGTCATGGTTAGGTATTTATTCCAAGAAAATAAAAGTTCATTTCTAAAAAAATATTCTAGAGTAAAACATTTATTGTTAAATTTGTTTAAAAGAAAGAAAAAATTATGACCAACATATTTTTCACGAAATATTCTGAAGGGAAATTAAAGATGTGTGAAGACTTATCAAAAACAATATAAAAAAAATCAAGTGGTGCTCTATATTTTCGCTTTGGGGCAGAGCAGGTACTGAACAAATTACTATGTCCCCAAATAAAGTTTAATTTTTGTTTGTTATTCACAAAATTTAAGAAAATAAATTATCTGTAATAAATTGTACGATTGAAATATGTGTAGAGAAAAGAAAAACAATAAGAACTACTACGTATTATTTACCGCTTTCACTCTAAAATGTGGACTTTATCTTTGACGTTTCATATAGAAAAATATGAGCTATTTTCATTTTTTACCCGTATAAGACCTATACGGTCCCATTTTTGAACATCGATCCCCATTCCCGTATTCCTTTTTTACCCTTGTGTTCGATGCATGTTATCTATAGATTTAGGATGGGGTAGGAATCGATGGTCTTGGCCATAACACAAATGATTCAAACCACATTACAAGATTGAATCCAATCAATTACTTAGTCCAACTCCATTAAAGAGCCTCTTCACTAGTTTTTACACAGCCCTGAACACATATTACTTGTCATGGCATTACTAATTAGCTTTGTTACACTGCCCAAACACTGCCCATGTCGACACACATTACTTCATCAACTTCATAGACAATACCCATTTCTTCTCTGTAACTGCAAACTTCTGAAGGAGGCTATAACCAGAAGCCGCCTTCACATAGAATGTTAAGTTTTAGTTCCCCGAAAAAAAAACGCTTGGGTAGAGAACACCCTCTGTGTCTGCTCTAAGATACAAGTAGTACATACTGTTGCGATAACATTCGCCGTGTTTCTTTCATCTTCTGCTTCTGGTCCTGCAACACCGTTCGGTATCTACACTAAATACACTTACAGTTTAGATTATCATATCACCTACGTCCGCGTATAACTTTTACATTTAGAGATGAGTAAAGGCTCATACCTCATGCTTCTCATCATTCGCATCTTCATCTCCTTCGGAAAGATCCTCTACCATATCTTGAATTATTGACATCATTCAAGCATTCAAGGCCTGCATGCTAGGATCAACAACTTTCTTGGTTTTGCCACCTCTACTGCCACTAGCATTATTACTATCTTCATACCAGCCTTTTCCAAACATCTCTTTACGAATTTCGTGTGCTCCTGGTGTTCTTTCTTAAAATTGGCCACTGAGGATGTGTGGTAGCACCGAATTCGAAATGGTGAGTGGGCCAGCCTTCTAATTGATTTTCTGGCGGGAAAGGAACAAAGAGGGCAGTTTTGGCATTTCACCTACGTTAACAGAAGTAAAAGCGGTATTTCAAGTGAAAAAACAAGATGGCGGGAAAGGAACAAAGAGGGCGGTAAAAAGAACATTGTAAAACACACCATTAAGTTGATAAAAGATTTGATGGCAGCCACCCTACTCCAACGAAAAGACCTGGAAAAGCTTCAGACACATGTGGCCAACTTTAGGAAAGAACAGCACACAAAAGTTGTAAAGAGATGTTTGGAAAAGGCTGGGTACGCATATAGTAATAATGCTAGCTAGTGAGAGTAGAGGGAGCAAAACCAAGAAAGTTGTTGATCCAAGCATGCCAAGTTTCGATTTAGATATTGAGCTCAACAACAGTGCTGAATCAAAGCGAGGTGGCAAGGGAGATGATAAAGATTGCAACATTGTTACACACCTATGGAGTGAATCTGAAGAAGCTATTGATCCTTTGTGAGATTCACTAGAAGATTAAATTCAAGGATCTAATTGCAAGAAAATTCGCCGTTGGGCAACCATTCCCCGTTTACCTTGAGGATGATGTGGAGGTGGGACGATGACGAAGCCATTGATGGTTACAGTGTTTGGGAAATTAGGTTAAAGAACATACGGAATTCAGTGGGTAATATGCGGCGAATCCATAAATGTGAGATTGAGTGAGATGCGGGAGAAACGAACAAACAAGGACGGTTAAGGATGCAGCGATTACTTCCCATGAAATTAGGAACAATTTAATTATTTAATAAATTAAGAAATGGATGGAAAAAAGGGTTAAAAAGGAATACATGAATGCGAATGTACAAAAATAGGACCGTATAGGTCCTATACGTACGGGTAAGAATGAAAATAGGTCTTATCTGTGAAAATTCATTATGGGCATGTTTGGGAATAGCTTTAGAGGTTAGCGTTAACGTTTTGAAAAGGCTATCAATGGGTAGCGTTTAGCGTTAGCGTTTTCAAATTTAATCTGCACCGTTAAGATTTTATCCAAAACGCTAATGCTAATCAAAAATGCTATTCTCAAACGGACCCTATGTTTACGTCCAACCTTAGGTAATTTTCTCATAACATATCTAATGGGACGTTTGGGCTAATGTCCACCTCTTACATTTGGACCTGAGCCCAACTCTGATTCTTTCTAAAACTATCACTCAATTACACCTCAAACTCTTATTCACAGTTTTTCTCTCAACAATATGCTCATAACCAAACATGACCTATGAGTATATAATACTCCGTATAGAGTATTACGGACTATATAGCTTGTTAAATACTAAGTACTTTTCTCGTCCTAATTTAAATTGCATATTCACAATCTCTATTACTCTGTATCAAATTTTTATCACTTTCTTTGCATATTTTCGTTACTCGTTTTATATAACAATATTCACGTTACTTCGTTTGTAGAACCTTTGACGTAGTTTTTAAATATATACTATTTTTTTAATTCCACAAAAAATTTCAAATAAGTTGAATTAAAATTAATTTCAATCAACCATCATAGACATTAGCGGACAACTTAAGTTTGGAGTGAAGAAATATCTATATTCATATAGATGTGTTTTACCGCCCATAGCATGTAAATTCTCTCAGAAGGCAAATTTAGCATGAATCACATCACATATATAAACTTAGAGCATTAATAAAGCAAAAACATTCAAGTTTATCTGCATTCTTAATATAAATGAAATATGAAAAATGTTAACAAGTGAAAAAAGAGACGTTAGAAATTGATGAGAAGAAGGGAAACTTTTTTTAGCCACGTTCTTTTATTTAAAATTTAAATAAAAATAATTTTGGAACTAGCGAGGGATAGAGGGACTACAATAGATTATGAAGCCATTTAGAGATTATAACCTTTTCTTAAGAGAAGCTAAGTGGTGTACCAGACAGTAGCAGAGTACTCATTTGAACTTTGATCACTCTTAGCTTACATAAACCGCACTCCTTTGAAACTATGGCGCCGGCTGTCATGAGCATGGAAATAGTTGCGGTTAAAGAACAAGATTCAGGTGAGAGGATGGGCCTGTTTGGGAATAGCGTTAGAGATTTAGCGTTTTTTGGATAAAATTTTAACGGTGCAGATTACTTTGAAAATGCTAATGCCAAACGCTGGCCGTAGATAGCCTTTTCAAAACGCTAACGCTAATCTCTAACGCTATTCCCAAACATGCCCGATAGCAATAGTTTTTTATCCTATAGGCATAAATTAAATTAGAAAGGTTGATCAACTCATATATGCTACAACATAAATGGCCTATGTCAACAATTTAAAATTGTTTTAAAAAAATACTAAGAACAAAAGTTGTTGCCTTACATCAAGACAACAGAAGATGAGTGTTGCATTTGCCTTCGTTGTCTTTCCATAAGGCAATGGTTTTAGTACAAAAGGAAACACTTTGTGAAAATGAGTGTATATGTAGTTTAGGCAACAGTTTTTTTAAGACAACACATCTATAATTGTTTCCTTTATGAGCTAATATACCTAGTTCTTCCTAATAATAAGAATAATACTAATAATAATAATCACTATCATCATCATGTTAATAATAATAATAATTACTATTATAACAACAACAACAACAAAGCAAACATGAGAACATCTAATGTTTTAATATACATAATGCTATTTACAGTAATTTTTTTACGAAAAAGTTTACTATAAAAAGGAAAGAACAAGTGAGGAGGAGCAAACCGAAGCCCCTCGGGATAAAAAATGGATGAAAACTCTAACCATAGCAAACCAAAACAGCGTACTTCAATCTACAACCCATACATCAATAAAAACCATTGCAAGATTGTCACAGCAGACCATGAGACTCAAGAAACAACAAAGAACCACCAAGCACATTGAACCAGTTGATCATAAGATAGACAAGCAGCCAATAGAACAAGCACTGTAAGAACCTCAGCTCCCTATCGACAGCAACAAGACCAACTACATGACATGAACCAGAGTAGTCACAGAAAGGAGCAAGCTATATATGCCATTTATATGCTTTTAAACAGCCAAAAACATCATCATAAGAGCAACAACAAAAGTTTCAATTATTTATCATCACAAAACTAAGCATAAAAAGAAAAAAAACTCTTTCAAGAAGAAGAAGAAGAAGAAGGAGAAGAAGAAGGAGAAGAAGAAGGACATCCATAAATAAAGACTCTTTTTAGCAACAACTAGAAAATCAAGAATTTAGTTGTGGAATGAAACTTACATCAGAAATCGGAACAGATAAGATTCTAAGGATCTCATGGATACAACAACATAATAGGGGCATTTGCCGGGAGAGGAATTCGAGTGCAGCTAGGGTTTTAGGGCATTTGCAATGGGGCTGCCAATTCCCGCCGCGGCAGAAGAAGAGGAAGGGCGAGCGGCGGTCCTGCACGGCGGATGCCACGGCGCACCGGCCGCAGCGCCGGTTCTGCGGCGCGAGCGAGGACGCTGCAGGTTGGCGGTCCCCTGAAATGGGCCGACTGGCAGGATTCCAAACTTTTTTTTATTTAATCTTCTTTTTTTTAATTTTTAAATCTTTTTCTTGAGAAAGATACAATAATTTTAAAATCTATAATTCATCACATATCTAATTTTAATTCGTCAAAGTAACAGGGAAAATGCTAGGGTACACCAAAAGTGTACTCCTAGCATCTCCGAAGTAACATCTCTTCCTAATCTCACCATCCAAACATGAATTCGGACGGCAACAGCTTTCCCTTCGAACAATCTGACCTCGATACAGTTATTCGATTTGCAAACTTGACTAGTTTTCCAACCAGATGAGTGACTACCAATTATCGATCGTGAATATGACTGACTACGGCATTTTTGAGTTGGAGCTCATAGCGAATGTATTAGTAAAGGGAATTCCGAAAAAAATGACGGGTTCTGCATAAGCGAAATGTCTAATTTTGATGAAATTTAATGTTGACTTGTCGAAAGATGTCATCGTTGACAACTCCCAAAAATTCAAAATCATTTGGAAGTAAATGTTCAATTTTTCCCCTTTTTTAAATTTTCGTGTAGAAATAGAAGCAACCATAGAATAGAAGAATTTTTTTTATAAAAAATTAATCTTTTTAATTGCAACATACTACCTCCGTCCCAGAGTATTTGTCCACTTTCATTTTTACACACCATTCAATACACTTCTTTAATTCATTTTATCGTGTAATTTGTATATTAAAAAATTATAGAAATTATATATTAATAATCTATATGTTAAAGACAAATCAAACAAGATCACACATGACTATATTTAGGCTTACACATTGAGAGAATTTGATGGGTCAAAGTGCTTAGATGAACAGTTCCAAAAATCAAAACTGGACAAATACTCTGGAACGGAGGGAGTATGTAGTACTCCGTATCACATAGGCAATAAAGAAATCACCCTACGTAGCACTCTAACTCACCCGCATCTAGCACTACTTATTCTTTTTAACAAATTTAGCACTTTTTTGTGTCAATCCTTTACTATCATGCCCTTTAACCTTTTTCCTTTTTCTCATTAAAAAATTACGACATTCTCCTGCCTACCTAGCCGCACATCGTCTGTACTCTCGTGCACGTACTCTTCATCGGCTCAAGTTCTACTTTAGTCGCCCCCGATCATGCATCCTCAGACCATCTCCCACGATTCCTGCTCCGATCAGCAGCGGCAATCATCAGGTTATCTCGAATTCCTTCATCAATGTGGCTAATCATTTTTTCTTCTCCTTCAATTTTTAATTTTCATTCCTTCATCCCTTTATTCGAATTTCCATGTATTTTTAGTTTAATTTTTGTGTTTTCTTCGTACTAAAGATTAGGTGTTGTGAAATCAATTTTGAAATACCTAGTATTTGTCCCTTTTGAAAAATTAGGTCTTTTGAAAGACATTGTGATTTTGGCAGTGTGTTTTTGGCACTGTCAAGATTAGGTGTTATGGTATGGGCAGTGTGAAGATTAAATGCTTAAATGTTGCCCTGCATTTTCGTTACATTATTTTTTTTCCAAAACAAAAAAAACGGTACACACAAAAAAAGGTTTGATGCTCACACTGCCCAAATTTAGCAGTGTATTTGAAACCCAAGTTCTGGCAGTGTACCAAATATTATGCTTAAAATTAGGCAGTGCAGTGTGATCAGCATATACTTTGGTTTCTAAGAAATGGTTTTCTGAACTTTTGGTAATAGTACGCATCTTGTTGATGGTTACAAACCATTGCTTAGAAAATTGTTCTTACCACTTGTATTAAGTACTTATCGTATTGATTTTTAAAGTGAAGATGTGAAATAAGAAACACGTATACTGTCTTCTTATATGGTATTTACAGTTTTAATTAATACATTAAGCAAAACTTTGTGGTATCATCACAACCTTCTTCTTGACTGCTATACACACTGCCCAAATTTGGCAGTGTGTTTGAATTACACAAGCTGTGGCAGTGTAGCAGAAACTTTAGTTTAAATTAGGCAATGCAGTGTGATCAGCAGATACATTGGTTTTTAAGCAATGGTTTTGTGAACTTTTGGTATCACTAAGCTTCTTGATGATGCTTAGAAACCATTGCTTCAAAATTTGTTCTTACCACTTGTATTAACTAGTTATCCTATTGCTTATTCACCTGAAGATGTAAAATAAGAAACATGTTTTTTGTTCTCTTATATGGTATTTAGAATTTTAATTAATAGATTAAGCTAAACTTTGTACTATCATCACTTTTGGGACAAGCACCTAACCCTTTTTAATCATTCTGGTTGCCTTCATTTTCTGTTTTATAGGTTTGACTCAATCCATACTTGCCCGGTTGATTTTCGAGAAGGCGATCACAGACAGGCAACATCATCATTTGTAGCTGATACTGTCCTTCATCGTTATGTGGACGCTACCAAGAAACCATACCCTCCTAAAGACTTGCGTGAGGACATGAGACGGGAATATGGTGTTTCAATGTCATATAGGAAAGCTTTACTAGTCAAACAGAAGATGAGACTTCCATCAGTCGGTGAATTTCAAATAAGCCATAGGCGTAGAAAGCAAAGATGCACACGGTGTTTGAATTTGGGGCATAATGTAAAAACATGCAAAAACCCAATACCAAATTGACACTGCACTCTTTCATATACCGTATAATATACATTTCTCAACACTTTCCTTCATCCATTTTTGACTTAGTTCAGACACATTCTTTGTTTTTTTACTCTTTTAATAGTTGTACTCCTTATACTATAACTTGATTTTTTTATTAATATATAATACTTTGTCTACTTGCACCATTACCGGGTTAAAATGACAACAAACCTTTTAGCTTATTGCAGTGAACCTTCAATAAAAACCCCCCTGCCACACCGGGAAAAAAACTTATTCTAAACTTTGTAAGAGAAATTTTTAAAGAAGCAAATTCAATGCCAAATAGAAGCAAAAACATATTCTAAACTTTGAATTACGTCTAACATTCACAAAAAAAACCTAAACAAGTTCAACAAAGCCAAAAAAATCTAATACGTAAATCAAAAAAACACTGCCAAGCTTAAAAATTAAAACACACTGCTTAGAACCCAAGGGAAACAACAACACACTGCAGAAAATAAAAACATACTGAAGAAAATTAAAAAACACATTGCAGTGAACCTTCAATAAAACCCCCCTGCCACACCGGGGAAAAAAACTTATTCTAAACTTTGTAAGAGAAATTTTTTAAGAAGCATATTCTATGCCAAATAGAAGCAAAAACTTATTCTAAACTTTGAATTACGTCTAACATTCACAAAAAAACCTAAATGAGTTCAACAAAGCCAAAAAAAATTCAATACGTTAATCAAAAAAACACTGCCAAGCTTAATAATTAAAACACACTGCATAGAACACACTGAGGAAAATAAGAACACATTGAGGAAAATTAAAAAACACATTGCAAACGAAAATTTAAAAACACACTGCTTAAAAATTATTCATAAACGAAAAAAACATACTCCAAACGAAAAAAACACACTGCAAAAATTATTCCAAAACGAAAATTAAAAAACACACTGCTTAAAAAACACATTGCAAAGGAAAAAAACTTATTCCAAACTTTGTTAGAGAATTTTTTTTAGAAGCAAATTCAATGCCAAAACGAATCATACTTGTATCTTCTCCAATCTTTTGCTTAGAGGGATCTCGTCCAGTGCATCTTCGCTTGCCATTGAAACCTTGGGTCTCCTTCCGGAAGCTGCTGCGTCGCGTTCGGCAGTGTGACGAGGAAGCGTGCCCGTTATGGCGTGAATGGGAAGATCGGCTGCTGGGCCTGGGAAGATCGGATGCGCAATAGCATTTGGCCGTAAAACGTATTTCTTAACCTAATTAGGAAAATATAATATTAGGTGTTTATTTAAGGACAAAAAAGAGAATTCATCTCCAAAACTAATAGCACTGCTATTTTGAGTATTAAAGTGCTATTAAAGTGCTATTTTCGTATTTCTCCCTAGGCAATATCATGTGTCGAATTTTAGAACTTGGAGTATTTTTTTTATAAAAAATATCATAAAATACAAAGGTTTTTGTGCTTTAAAAACTAAAAATAAAAATAATAAATGATAAATTTTTGTAAAGAGCATTTTTTAACAAGAGTAAATTCTATAATTGGTCCTTTATAACAGGGGGTTTCCCTATTTAGTCCTCTATTATCAAATATTACCCAAGTGGTCCTTCTTTTATGGGTACCTTTCCACAAATAGTCTTTTTTTGATCTTCTATCATGTTGGTGTTAATTTGAGGGCTAAAAGTGTAATTTCACAATGATAATATATCTTTTTTGTCATACACAATTCCAAAGGCTGTTCCGTTTGTGTCGTTTGTGAATTACAGTCACTTTTTACGACAACTATAGTCTACAAATGTGATCTTTCGTCAGAATCCTAGCCCACAATCATAGTCATTATTTTTGTGTTATCCGCTTAACCAATATCAGAACACGTCACTAGACATAATGTTGACGTCAAATTATANCTTTTTTTGATCTTCTATCATGTTGGTGTTAATTTGAGGGCTAAAAGTGTAATTTCACAATGATAATATATCTTTTTTGTCATACACAATTCCAAAGGCTGTTCCGTTTGTGTCGTTTGTGAATTACAGTCACTTTTTACGACAACTATAGTCTACAAATGTGATCTTTCGTCAGAATCCTAGCCCACAATCATAGTCATTATTTTTGTGTTATCCGCTTAACCAATATCAGAACACGTCACTAGACATAATGTTGACGTCAAATTATATTTTTAGCCTTTAAATTAACACCAACACAGCAGAAGATCAAAAAAGGACCATTTGTGGAAAGGTACCCTTAAAAAAAGGACTACGGGGTAATATTTGATAATAGAGGACTAAATATGGAAACCCCTTGTTATAAAGGATCAATTATGGAATTTACTCTTTTAACAACTATGTTCATAAAAGTCTTGTTAGAAATTTAAAAAATTACTCCGTATATGATGATGGTAACGTTATACTCGCAGTTTTTTCTCAAAGGTAAAAATTTAATCCGTATATATTTAAAAATTATACTCATTTAAGACACCTGTATGCTCATTACTCCGGCATCTCGTCCCATTCGCCGCCGCCGCGCATCGCCGAAATCACCAGTCTCCCACGGGTCACTTCCAACGCCTTCATTCCTTCGTTCTCCTCTCCAATTCTCCAATCTGAAAAAGGTACTTAATTTCGGAGTAATTAATTTTGAATATTAGTAGTCCGTAATTTATATGTGATTTTCTTTCAAAAAAAAAAAAATATGTGTGTGATTTTTTTGGGTATTTTATTTGGATATTTTGCCACTTGTTATGAATTCAATTGACTGTGTATTTTATTCACTATAAATTTATTTATTCCGTAAACCATAATTCTTAAATTAATATTTATTCATTAATTTAGGATCTTCAATGCAAAGATATTTTTAAAAAATGACCAAAATTTAAAGAATCCAAGTTGGAAGTAGGAGAAATTTTAAAAATAGTGCTTCAATATCCCAAGTAAATGTTGGTAACTATATTGTATTTTGGTGGGTATTCAATTTTTCATTGACATTGAACACCAATGTCATGGCAGGACACTGATCCATTTGGTGCACCTATGGTGCTATATGAGGCCCAAGTAGTTTCTATTCCCACCCCATCCCCCCCCACAATTCACCTATTTGCTACAACTGTAGCAAATCAAATATTGGAGCGGGGTAGGGAGGTTAGGGGTAAGAACCATTTTCGGGCCCGATGAAGTATTGTAGGGTGTCCGATGTCATCCATGACATTGAAAACTAATGTCATCGTGGTGATATTTTTTGTTGAAATTATGAACTATTCAAATACGGAGTAGCAAATACTCCCTACATCTTTTTGTTTTTTTGTTGAAAATTATGAACTACCTTGGGTCGAAGACTCTGAGGTCTTGGACCCATGGTCACATAATCCTTGATCTGCCTCTGACCACATGTCTACGTCTTCGGCGTTGAATGGTAATTTGTGTATGTGTATATGTCTGTGATCTCGTGTCTCCTTCTATGTGTATATGTATGTGTGGAAATACTATACAGACCCACAGCGTCTGTGTATATATGTAGATGATGGTGGTTGTTAAGTCTGTGAGACTGTCCATGTGAAAGCGTTACAGAGACAGATGATGTTTGTGTCGGGGGTGGTGGTCAGAAGTTGCTGGTAGTGGTCGGCGGGTTGTTGGTGTTTTTGTGTCTATGTGAAAACACTACGAAGAGTCGTGGACATATGATCCGTGCAAATGACAATAGTCAGAAGTTGCAGGCAGCGGTTGGTGTGTTGTGCATTTCTATGTATATCTGTGCGTCAATGTGAAAATACTACACGGACATATGATGTATACATGTGCACATGTTCATGGTCAGAGGTTACCAGCTACGATGATGACCTGTAGTAGGTGATGTGATGGTCAAAAGCCTAGTAACAATGATGGGAGGTCTGGCGAGTTGAGGTGAGAAATAGGAGGGAATGCGTATCTCTTTCTCTCTCTCTGTGTGTGTGTGTGTATAATGTGGGTAAAAGTTGGGGCAACCGAACATGATCGCTAAATGTATGAGCAACAATGAACAATGAACTGAATGCTAGAGTGGAAGTTCACAATGTGGATCTAGACCACAAAATGGTGGTGTGTCGAATGTGGGGGGGGNAGCTCACATTGTCATTCCTTATTTGTCAGATTAAGATTTAAAATCAGCTTACCTCCTCTCATCTAATAACTATTCACCCGATTCTGAAGGGCAATAAGGATGGGCTAATCCTTTTTTTTTAAAGATTCATCTATATATTTGGAAAACTTGGAAAAAAACAATACAAACTATGTCTAAGGTGCAAAAAAACACGAACCAAACATGTATTTAACTATGACAAAATTTATGATGTTAGGGTGCTTCATCTGAATTTGCAGCCAATTGTCATTGCATGTAAAGTGGGCCCACACCAAATTTTAGGAAATTGGATGAGAATTTAAACCAAGTTGGCCTTCAAATATTTCTTATCTACTCTCCATCTTAACAAACATTCATTTCATTGAAGAAGAGGGAGCTATTTAGAGATGCAACTGTTGCAGTCAAAGAATCCCAGAGTTAGTGGTCGGGCTAGTCTATTTACATTATTGATGGCAAGGTAGTCCTTTGCTTCTTTCTTCTAGCTGTCCTTTGTCCAAACCGAATGTCCAAATTGAAGGTGTAGATTTCATTAACAAATCTTTTACTCCCTCCGTTCCACTATTTTTGGGACATGGGGGAGTGGCACGGAAATTTTAAAAAGTAAGTTTGTGTGGTTGATATTGATGTTAAAAAGACAAAGTAAGAATGATTATGAACCACACAAATATGACAAAATATGGAATGAGACAAAAATAGTGGGACGGACAAAAAAGGTAAAATTAGACAAAAACAATGGGAAGGAGGGAGTATATCACTGGCTATGGCTGATTCACCTTTATCTTTTCTGTTTTGTTTTGCACAGAAGAAAAGGCCATTTCTTGAAAGGGAGAGAGAGGATGAGGTGGCTTTAGAGTGTGAATGATTTTTCCATCTATGGAGTCCTTTTTCGCTTTTTCTTGATTGAGAATAAATTGAGAGTAATAGATGGGAAAGTGTATCTTAATCATAACATAAATAGGCTCTGGCTGGCATGAAATTTTTGGGTATAAAGCCGCTGGTACAAGAAAATGCACTTAGGAACGGCTACCTCCTTGCTCTCCCTCATACGGAAATATGAATTCAGCCGCCCAGCAATTCAGCAACTCCATTCTCATTTGATCTTTGCTTCCACAAGCACTTTCTCCTATGCGACGCCGATCATATTCACCATCTGGAACTCTATTCTCCGCCACTACTCCCTCGGGCCCATCCCACAAGAAGCTGTCTTCCTCTTCAAGCACCTGCAGCTCAAATTGCCGACTGGGTTCTTTTTCGACAGTTTCTCTTATTCTTTTCTCATTAAAGCTGCCACTAATCTATTTCAGCCCGTTATTGGGAAACAAGTTCACTGCCTGACTTTAAAATCTGGGTTTCATTCTCATGTTTATGTGCAAACTGCTTTGTTAGGTATGTATGTTAATTGTCACTGTCTAGTGGAATCATGTCATGTGTTTCAAGAAATGCCTGTCAGAAATAGCGTGACTTGGAATGCTTTTATTACCGGGCTCATCAGATGGGGTGAGCTTAGCTTTGCCCGTACTGTTTTTGATGCGATGCCTGAGAAAAATGTGGTTTCGTGGACGGGTGTTATTGATGGGTACACTCGCGTGGGGAAGTTCAATGAAGCTTTGTTGTTGTTCCGTGAGATGGTTGTGCGTGAGGGGATTAAACCAAGTGAAATAACACTCTTAACAATTTTCCCTGCTATTTGGAATACTGGTTATCTTGAATCTTGCCAAATGCTGCACGCTTATGGGGTGAAAAGTGGGATAAACTCTTTTGATATCCGCGTCATGAATTCCCTTGTTGATGCATACTCCAAGTGTGGGAGTATAGGGTCTGCCTCAAAAGTTTTTTGCGACATAGAAGATGAGAGGAGGAATCTTGTCACGTGGACATCAATCATATCAGGGTTTGCGATGCATGGGATGGCTGAAGAAGCTTCGGATTGTTTTCGGATGATGCAGAGTGCAAATGTTAGGCCAAATCAGATTACACTTTTAAGTGTGCTTCATGCTTGTAGTCATGGTGGTTTGGTGGATGAAGGAGTTGAATTTTTTGCAAAGATGGTTAATGGCTTCGGTCTTCGACCCAACATTAAACACTATGGGAGCTTGATAGACATGTTGGGGAGAGCAGGGAGATTAGAAGAAGCTGAAAGGATAGCCTTGGAGGTGCCTAGTGACACCTCTAATGTTGTTATATGGAGAACACTTTTGGGCGCTTGTAGTTTTCATGGGAATGCTGAGGTGGGACAGAGAGTTATGCAAAAGGTTATGGAGCTGGAGAAAACATATGGTGGTGATTATGTGCTTCTTTCCAATATTTTTGCCAATGATGGTAGGTATATAGATTCAGAGGGCGTGAGGAGATTAATGGATGAAGAAAATGCTCAAAAGGTTCCTGGCCTTAGTTTTTGCTAAATCTTAGAAAAAGGTCTTGAAAGGGGTCCCCTGGGCAATCTTCATGTGAAAGCAATGGGTAAATGACCAAATAAGGTAACGGCTTCTCAGCCATTTCACTTACTCCGTATATGATTGTCATTACTTTAGTGTCAACTGTACACTATTTCTCAATTTAGTTCAAAAAAGAACTACAGAGTCTATTATTCAATTTACTTATCAACTATTTTTGGACTCAATTGGATCTTGGACTATGTAAACTATGCAAATCATGATCAAAATTTATAAGTTTTGAACGTAAAAGTTAAAATGAGAACTTAATTTCAAGGGGTTCGCTTCCACCCACTTGGTAAAGTAGTCAATGGAGAGAAAGGCCCATGTCATGCTCCCCATCACCCTAGCCAGAGCTCGTGTCAATTTGATTCCCCACCTTGCAAAGGGAATGATTGTGCTACTAGGGGATACTAGGTGTGAAGTTGGTGGTTGGTTGCTTGGGCACCTTTTTGAATTTTTGACGCACTTTTTACTTTTTCACTAAACGATTACAATCCTTGATAATGGTAGGCCAAAAATAAACAGTGTATGCTTATCTTCCGGTAGGGGTGGACAAGGTTCTGGTTTGGAACCAGAACCTAGGGTTCTTGGGAACCAAGCCAGACCGCTAGGGGAAAGGTGATGGTTCAGCTCCTCTATTTTGGGACCTAGAACCGGCAGTTTCAGTTCCAATTTTTTTTGGTTTTGTTGGATAGTTGCTACTTGCTAGCAGCCACCACATGCGACCATTTGGGGTCAATGACTCTATAGCCATTGACATGGGATGAGGGTGGGGGGTATTTTTTTTCTTTCTTTCTTTTCTATTCATACCCCACACACTTTATTCACTCAATTCTCAACTTCTAATTCTTTGACTCTCTTAAATCTCAATTACTGTACTCTCTACAATTTTTTTCCCTATAAGTACCTTACACCTATCATTGTATTATTTGTATGATTGATAAAATTTATAAATGTTTTTTATGTTGTTTTTCAAGGAACCATTTGATAATAGCTTTAGCATTTTCAAAAAGCGGCAGTGTTTAACTATACGGTTTTCAAAGTTAATCTATACCATTAAAAAGTTATCAAAGGCCTAAGCCATAAATTATCATATCTGGGCCTTGATGTTCTTTTTTTAATCAATTTTCTTTGATCCTGGTAGAGGGAAACCATGGCATCTTGTGGTGAAGAAGTCTTTTCTTTCATGAGGCTTGCTCTGAACCAGGCAAAGCTTGCCTTGGATAGCCTTGAAGTACCAGTAGGCTGTGTCATTGTAGAGGACGGCGAGGTCATTGCTTGGGGAAGGAACAGGACCACAGAGACTAGAAATGGCACACGGCACGCGGAGATGGAAGCCATTGATTCTTTACTTGAGAATTGGAAGAAGAATGGGCTTTCGCCAGGTGAGGTCTCCTTGAGATTCTCAAAATGCACCCTCTATGTGACTTGCGAGCCCTGTATAATGTGTGCTGCGGCACTGTCTTACATTGGTGTCAGAGAAGTATATTACGGTTGCCCGAACGATAAATTTGGGGGTTGTGGGTCCATACTGCCGCTGCACGCCGGAGGAGATGGTGGCGGCGCTAAGAAGGGGTTTGGGTGTGTGGGAGGCGTAATGGCATCTGAAGCAGTGTCTCTTCTGCGCAGTTTCTACGAACAGGGGAATCCAAACGCTCCCAAGCCTCATAGGCTGCTGAAGGGGAAAAACACTTCTTGTTGAATCATGCCATATAAGATTTGGCTTAATGTGTGTGTGTGTGTGTGTTTTCTACCTTTTGGGGAGGTTTTGATGCTTTGTTCTTGGATGGTTTTTGTTTGAAATTGTAATGTGCTTTTGAATATTAGTCCCTTTGTGATTTGTTTCCCTCAAGTACTTGGGCTAGTTTGAGAATAACGTTGTTTAATCAGCGTTAGTATTTATTTTGATAGTTTTTTATGATGCAGATTAATCTGAAAATTCTAAAACCACATATTGCTTTTAGATCGTACGGAGTATTTTCAAAAAAAAATGAAAAAGAAATGCTGGACGTTGAAGCTATGGTCAAACATGAAAAATTAATTTAAATTTCTGTTTTTGATGCCGTGTTTTTGTTTTCTTAGATTAATAGAATTCAATTTTTGTTATCTACCTATATTTAAATAAATTAAGTGAATATAACTTAAATAAATTTTGTTTTATATTCATCCCGTTTCACAAAATTCTTTTGCCTTATTTTTTTGGGCACTCCATAAAACACTTATACGTCATCTAAGATGTGTAAAATATACTTATTACGTACGGAGTAGTTTATAACCGATAGAATTTATTTTAAGAATATTTTAAATATTTTAGCTAGGATAGAAATATATTATGGAATGTACAAAAAATTACATATAAATAAATATTCCGTGTATTAATGTTCGAAACATTATATTGGAGATAGTAAAAAATGAAATATAACAAAAAATAGGACGGAGGGAGTAATGTCTTTGTTCTCCTATATTTGTTAGGACTAGATTTTTTTTCCGTCTATTTTAACGCCCCTGCCCTCTTCTTCGTCTCTTCACAATTCCGAATCATCTTTTCCATTGGCCACTTCGCCGCCCGCCGCCCGCCGCCCGCCGACGCAGCCTTCTTCGCCGTCCATCGCCCCACGAAGGAGAATCCTTCTTTTATATCTTCCCTGGGATTGCATTGGCCTCTTCTACCATCTTCCTCTGAATTGAGTTTGGTCAGATCCCTTCGCCAAGCCCTAGGTACCTCTTCCTTTTGTTTTTGACTTTTTGTTGTACTCTTTTCAGAAATGGATACAAAATATGAACTTGTGTTGTTTATGCCATGTGTTACTTTTTTCGCTCTTTTTTGCACCCCCTCCGTCCCAACTGTGCAACACTTCGACCATAAATGGTGGAAAAAGTACATTTTGTTATATTGTAAATGTAGTACAATTAAGTTCATTTTAAAATATAGTTTTGATATCAATTTTTTATAACATTTAATTATTTAAAAGTATATATAATTGGTGGTAAAAGTGTTACTCAGTTTAACCAAAAAAGTCAAATTGTGGTAATCTTTTTGGGACTGAAGGAGTAGTATATGAAAACATTTTTTTTTTCAAAATATATTTATGCGTCCAAATTTTGTGATGTCCAACATGTGTAATGTGTATACTTATGGTCATGTTTTTTTAAGATTTGAGATCCCATGCTCTCAATTTTCTGGCAAGTTATTTGCGTATATGGTCACTGTGATCTTCTATAAATAGGTAAATAGTCCCTGTATTAAATTTGCAAAATAGTCCCTATGGTAATATGGTTAAAGAACTGTTGGCCTGTTGCATAATCAGTCCTTCCTTTTCACTATGTTTGTTTCAAGAAATTTGAGAGGAAAAAGAAAAGAAAATGAGAGGAAACTTTTTTTTCTTGTTTGGTTAAAGAGGAAAAAAAAAGAAAATTGAAAGAAAAGAAAATTGGAGAAGAAATTAACTAAAAAGGAAAGCAACATTCCTTCCATTTTGGTGAAGGAGAGGATAGAAAATATCTTTCTTTTCTTTTCCTTTTCAATTCCATGAATCATAGTGTTAAGAAAATGTAAAGCATGCAAAACACGCACATACATGTGACAAAATAAATATGCTAATCTGAAGAAATTGCCCTCGTCTTCGTGGTTTAAAGAAGGGAAAGATCTTATTTTACCTCTTATACCACACGACATTACCCAAGAATAAGGCTATTTGAAGAACGGAATAATGCCAAGTTGATTTAAAACATTGTACTACTCTAGATTAGCTTTTTTATTGTAACATGTTTCACATTTGCCCATAACATGTGCGTGTGCGTGCTTCACGTTTTTCTTCAAGGAATGACTAACTATGCAATAGTTCTTTGACCACAGGGACTCTCTGGCAATTTTTAAAAGTTTGAAGACTATTTACGACTTATGGGAGACCATGAGGACTATTTATGCATTTAACTCTTTTCTGGCTACGTCACTGTTCAGTGCTCTTCATCTACCTTCCAAGTATATGAATGGAAGCTCGAAGCTTGATATTTGGATTTTCTTCTCCATCATTACACACACAAAAACCAAACATCACATTCTTACCAGCTCTTTTACCCGCTTCTACTCAATCAACAACTCAATCTCCTAAATGGGTCCCTCTCAAACCACAATTTTTTCTCATTCCTCGCATATCATGGGCCAAGAAAGTTTCCTCCATTAGAGCAGTAGAAAGCAAGTCTCTTCATACCCATGAGATTGAATCCAGTGTAGACACCCAGAAGAAGAAGAAATTTGCTGTTTTTGTCTCCGGTGGAGGTTCGAACTTCAAGGCAATCCACAAAGCGACTCTGCAAGGGAGTATTCAAGGGGAGGTGGTTGTTTTGGTCACCAATAAAATTGGTACTTGGTTAATTTACTTTTTTTTATTTCCATTTCTTCTTTACTCTATCCATTTAGTTATTTGTTTACATTTATAATGTTAACTAATTTTAATTTTTATACACTACGTACTAATTACTTGATACTAGGACTTAGGTGCTAATTTTGTGATGACATTGAACTTATGTAGTTATGTGTATTCAATTTGTTTTTTTTTTTTGTGAAGTTTGTAGGCTTATAATGGTGATGCTCATGAAGGCATGTGTTATAAACCTGCAAAAATAATATTACTAAGTGATTTTTTGTTAAATGTTTTTTTATCCAATTTTAAAACTATATCAAGCCTTCGTATTTTGAATAAAGTTGATAGTAAGACAGGTGGACTAAGTTTCTGGTGATGGCAATTTTAGTTGTCTGTATATTTATTTTTGCATGCAGTTTGTAGGTTTATGATGATGCTTAAGAAGGAGCATGTTTTAACCTTGCAAAGTTCATGACCTCACAAAGGTCTTTTTTTTGTGTGTGGAAAAATTTCAATGGGTTTGCATATCATAATTTGATTGTGGTTTTCATATTTTTATTAACCAAAACCAATATATCTCAGTCGAGAGTATGGGTTTGGGAGGAGAGAGATATACACATGCCTTACTTCCACTACACTGAATAGAGGCTTTGGTGTTTTCATTATTATTACTACTACTATTATTACGGAATATATCCCAATGTTCAGTAATGTTATGATGTTATTAATGCAAGTGTGAGCCATGAACTCAATAGAACTATACCCTAGATGTTTATTTGGTTATAAATGCAGATTGTGGGGGTGCCAAATATGCCAGAGATGGAGGAGTGCCTGTTATTCTCTTTCCTAAACCAAAGAATACAGATGAGGGTATGTCCCCTGAAGATCTTGTGGCTGCTCTAAGGTATTTCAACCCCCCCCCCCCCTCCCCCAAATACTCACGCACACCGAAAGCATATTTAATGCATGGGATATGTTATCGTTTCTTATCTGTGCCNGAGATGAACAAAGAAAAGTCAGAAGATAATTTAGGGACAAGGGGAGTGTCATCTAACATTCACTCCTTATGTTTTTGTGTAGAAAATACAAAGTTGACTTCATTTTATTAGCCGGATACTTAAAGCTTATACCTCCTGCGTTGATTCAAGCATATCCGAGGTCAATATTGAACATTCACCCTTCGCTTCTCCCAGCTTTTGGAGGCAAAGGTTACTACGGGAGGAAGGTGCACAAAGCTGTGATTGCTTCTGGAGCTAGGTAAATCTCATATTTACCATTTTACCCTCACAACTCTCTTTTTTCGCCAATGAACAAATACAGTTGGGGTTTGTTCCGTCAAACAACTCTGCAGAAGCCAATAGGCAGGTAGGCACAATGGCACATATTTATATCACATGACTGTCATTCTTATGATGATGGTACCCTGGGGTAGATGCTATAAATGCTACAATGTAGTTAAAAATATTGTAGGTGTCATAATTCATAACTACTAGCCTATGTTTGATGGTAAAGAAATAGAGTTGGAGAAAACAAGAGAAGGGAAATGAGTTGAAAACACTGATCAATATGTTTCCTTGGTTTACTAGAGTGTATACAGTAAACTGATTAAAGAGATAACACAGAACCTGGGTTAAAGAGAAATGGAGGAAATGTCCTAAATTTATTGTTTTATCCCTGTTCTAATATTCGTTGTGATAATTGAAAGATGTTGTAAGTGTAATATTCTACATTTACTATAGAATATTGTTTATTTAAAACCTATTTGTAAGTGTATATCCCTTTTCCATTTATTTTCAACCTATTGTTTTTCAATCAAACAACTTTAATTTATCTATTCTCTACCTACATTTAGTAGTACCCATATTTTTAAAAAGACATTCTTTATTTTCTTTTTATATACATATTTTGTACTTAAATTTCTTTTTTTATTTATATTTTTCAACAAGTGAAGAGTATGTATGTGTTGTGTGTGTGTGTACCCACACACACTAAGAGCTAGAGAGCTAAGATTCTTTAATTAAAAAAATTGGAGATGCTTTAGGAAGTGACGTGTCATTTGTTCTTCATTGTGGTAATCTTGAATCCAAAATTTTCTGTACATATCCCCTTGTTCTATGAACATGTGCGTTAAAGTTAACTTTGCTCATTTTGCAGATATTCGGGTCCCACAATTCATTATGTTGATGAAGAGTATGACACAGGGCGTATCCTTGCTCAGGCAGTTGTGCCCGTGCTTGCTAACGACTCCGCTGATGACCTGGCAGCAAGGGTTCTCAACGAGGTTAGGATTTATGAAGATATACATACATATATTTTGATTTGGTTCATCTAGAGCGCGTATGTTTGGTTTATCTCTTGGTTGAACTAAATTTATCATATCCTGCTTTAAAAAAAAATCATATCTTAGTTACTTTTTCTTGACAAATTACGCGGAAAATAGTTTCATCATACGATGGAGTAACACTCTACACTTTTTTGTAATATCAGGAGCATAAACTGTATGTACAAGTAGCCGCAGCGCTATGCGAAGAAAGAGTAGTTTGGCGGGAAGATGGTGTCCCTCTCATCCAGAGTAAAGACAATCCAAACCTATACCTTTAGAAAGCTAATCCATTGGAGAGCATAGTAACAACTGCCCTTTCGAGGTATGGTTTTCCAAAACAAAAACAAAAAACCCCGAAGTTGTCCTTTGTCACGTCATATCGTGTACTTTTTTTGCTTATGCCATTTGTGACCTCGGAGGTTTGGTTCTGACCACACGGATTGTCACGTTGTGTCAACATTTGTTTCATTCGTCCGGGAAATAAACTTAGATAACAAGTTTTGGTGTATAACATGAGAACTCATGAATGGTTATATTAGTCTTTTACATTTGTCTTGTATTGTATAGTCTAAAATTGTCTTGTATTGTGAGTATTCCATGTGGCTTCCTTTGGAAACAACTTTTTCAAATAGCTTTAGCATTTGGAGAAGTTGTTTTTAATGTTGAATTGTTGCACATTAGCTTTAAAAACACTAAAGTTAAATGGTGAAGTTGCAAAACATTAAAGCCGAATGTTGAGTTTCTGGAAAAAGCATCTCTACTTTTGAGTAGGGGTATGGTTTATTCTACACTTTCCAAACTCTCTACCGTTGTGAGATTTTACTGAATTTGTTTCTTGTTGAAGTCGAGGTATGTTACATTGACACTATAAATACTATTACTTCAGTCTTAATTTAAGTAGCATGTTTACTATTTATTTAATTAAATTTTAATTTGTTTTACTCGTTTTCATTATTAATTTGATAAAATAATATAATCATGTCATTTTTTTATCTTGTGAAATTTTTGATGTATTTTTAAATATATATAAACCTTATTTTTTATTCTATCCCAATTTATATATAAACTCATTTGAAAATAATTTCAGTCAAATATTATAAACAACAACATGCAAGTTAAATTGGGAATGAGGAAGTAGTTCCCTTCAATCCTCCCCTAACTTATATACATTTTCCACTCTCAAAGTGTCAATAATACATATGTGTATTCATGCATTCATTTTTTAGTACTATCAATCCCCACACAAAAAAAAACAGAGTACTATTGCCAAACACACGTTTTGTTCCTCCATGATACATACACACACTCATAAGTATGCTTCTCTACACAGCTTTCACATGAAGATTCATAGTGTAAGTTGTTCTACAAGTGCTTCTTCTTCTTCTTCTTCTTCTTCTTCTTCTTCTTCTTCTTCTTCCTCTTCTTCTTCCTCTTGCTCTTGTTCTTCTTCTGAGAGGCGTTTCGAGTCTTGAAGATATTTACACATCAAGTGCTTGCGTCTCTGCAACAACAAAAGGACAAAGATGCTATCCGTCTTGACAATGGCGTAACCTGCCTTGGTATACATATTGAGCGGTCCTGCGTCGATCATTCTACAGTGCAAGTAAACCATTCTAGCATCGCTCATTCTCGATATCAGCTCCTCGCTTGCTTTCAACATCTCCAAACCTATGCCCCTCCTGCAGAAAAGAATATATTTTTTATTATATATATAAAAAATTAACTCATTTAAGCTCATGTTCAAAATTCCAATAAAGATTCTATAACAATTTGGTAAGTTTCTTCACATCCAGTGTTCAAGTCTTACTTCTCCATTTCAGAGATTGGAGATACTTGAATGTATTCTTGAGTGGCTAATTACAGAACTGACCTCCTAAGAGACTTCTTGACAGCCATGTTGCAGATGTAAGGACAGTCCATGGGAGCAATGGGTGTGGGAGGACTATTGTTAGTGGCACCCCTTCTATCAAAGGACACCTCTACAGTCCCACTAACCTTCAATTCCCCATCTTCTTCTTCATCTTCTCCATTTCCATCTATGTAAAATCCCACAAGTGTTGCAGTGTGGGGAATCGCACTTCTCCTCTCAATCAAGTACTGCTTCACGAAGAACTCCAACAGCTTCACGTACCTCAGGGGCACCCCCACCCACTCCGCGAACGACTCCGCCAGCAATCCCGCGGTCGCCTCCGTCTCCTCCTCCGACATGACCCGGATCCGGACCGACCCGGACTCCAATTCTTGAAAATACTCGAAGTTCTCGAGGACCCGGAGCTTCTCGAGCTCTGGGGTTGTATAGGCGGCGGCGGCGGAGGAGGAGGTGGTGGTGGAATTGGAGGTGAGTAGAAGAAGGGGAAGGGTGGGATTGGCGGGGGAGGCGAAATTGGTGGAGATGGGGAAGTGGTGGGGGTGTTTGGGGGTAAAGGTTGGATCTTTACGGCGGCGGCGGCGGCGGAGTGGGTGGGTGTGGAAGAAAATGGAGGAGGAGGAGGAGGAGATTGTAAAGGCCATCTTGCTGAGGATATGATAATGATTACTGGTTAAGTCAATAAGTTCTTCTTCACTTCCAAATGCTATCTTCCCATGGTTACAAGTTTTCTTTCTTTTTTTTTTTTCACAACTGCTCTTTTCACCTGGATTATTTTGATTTTAGAATAACCTGAGACTGAAAAAACATGACTTGGGACTTCTAGTCCTCCCTTATGAGCATTTACAACAATAACAAATTCGTCACGCCACAATTCCGGTCACATCGGTCATATAAAATATTCTTATATAATTAAGAAAAAGTAGAAATTTAAATGCTCAATGCACAAGTTTGCGTATTTTGTACTACCTCTATTTATAACTTTAACATTTCTCCGTCACAAAACAACAAGTACAAACCAAATGTCAACACACAACTTTTTTGTAGATATAAAACTCAAAAACCACATAGTGAAATTTATATATTTGAATGTTATATTAAAACATACTCCCTCCGTCACATTTTATAACGTCTATTTTGATTTTAGGCCACATATTTAAGGAAGTAGAAAATTAAAGTTGACTTTCCAAAATTGCCCCTCACTTTATTTTTTTAAGGTGGATAGGAGTAAGAAAGGGTGGGTAGGACTGTAGGAGTAATTACATGGGAGGGTATTATGGGAAGTCCACATAAATAATTATACCAAATAAGGAAACATGAATATCATTTTGGGACAGACGAAAAAGAAAAACATGCATTATAATTTTGAACGCAAGGTGTACATCGTATAAAATAAGAGGCCTAATAAATACTCCCTTCATTCCATAAAATTTCTTACAAATTGATTTTTTATCGACCTATTGTACACTTTGATCATATAATAAGTATTATTTTAAATAAATAAATGTTTTAGGAATTTTACATTTTAAAATTATATTTCAAAATGAACTTAATTTTATTAAATTTATATTATAAATAAACATACTTTATCATAATTTATGGTCAAAGTTTATAAAATTTAACTAAAAAAATCAAAGTAAAGACTTTTATAGGATGAAGGGAGTATATTGTTTATACAATGATGCTCGATTGTTCTAAATTAATTTTCTCACATTTCTTTTTGGATTGTTCCAAAATATATTTCACATTCCTTAAAACAAATAGAAATGCAAAAAATTTGGGCTCAGTTTGCATCAACGTTATTGGGCTCAGTACATAAAAACCATATTGTTGGAAATATTTGGGCTGAAGTTTTTATAATCGATTATCGTCTTTCAAAGCCCAAAAAGATCTTTGGACAGCGATGACACACAGTTTGATCCTCCAAAGACCTGGTAAGCAAGAAGGAAGAAGAGAGGGAATAGAGGAGAGCGGGCCGTCGCCGTCGCCGTCAATGGAAGCTCACGGCAGCGAAGATTTCGCCGTCGGCTGCATCCTCTCCGTTAAAACGACGTTCGGTGAAGAGTTCGAAGGCAAAGTCATCACCTTCGACCGCCCCTCCAACATCCTCGTCATTCATATCCTTTTACTCCATCAAAATCTGATCTTTTCTGTTTTTTTTTTTTAATTTTAATTTTAGAATTTCATGTTCTTGTTGCTGTTTTTGTTCGAATTGAAGTATGTGGATTGCAATTTCATGGGGGGGTTTCACTTGATTTTCTTGACTTTGATCTTGAAAGCACAAGAAGGAGGGAGTTCAGGGGCTGGGGCAAAGATGAATATAAGGCTGTTGAAAGCCAATTATATCAAGGAATTTGCTCTATTGGGTCATGGAGATGACCCTCTGGATGCCAGCAAGTGTTTTCTTGATCTTGAGACTCTTAAATCTAGAGAAGATTCCGCTATTAGGTTGGGCGTTTCCCCCTCAATCATTCTCCATACCCATTCGTGAAACTTGTTTTCGTTTTGAAAAAAATTTGATTTTGATTTTGTATTGTCCAGACAAGCGGAGTTGGATGCCGAGAGATTCGGGGTCGGTGTCACAGCTGAGGCTCAGAGTATATTTGATGCTTTAGCTAAAACGTAATGCGCTCTTAACTTCTTCTTCTTCTTTCCGTTTTTCGCTGTTAATATGATATGTTCTTAGAGTTTAAGTTCTGAAAAAATGGAAATTTTCTTATACTCTGATATGGTCTTGCCATTGTTTTTTTTTTTTTGCAATGCCTATGGACTAAATCAAAATGGAACATTAAATTTTCCTTGCTTATTTTCTGTGAAGTTTTGGGCAGTAAGTACAGCAATGCATCTAGGTTCTAACGGAAACAGCCTGTCTGTTTTTACAGGGATAAGGCTTCGTAATTCTTGACCCCCGGACCCTAACGAAGTTGGGTTGTTGTTGTTGTTGTGTGCTAGATTTAATAGTATTAATGTTTTTACTTTCTGAAGGGTAGCAAAGTTGTGTTTCTGCAAAGTAATGAGCAATACTTTCTTTGATTGAAGAAGTCTTTATTATATTTGTAGAGTTCTTGGAGGGACTGTTTGTGAGTGATGTATATGTTTGAGTGTGTTTTCTCTCTTCACCCTGTGGGTCACTGTTAGTTTGTTTTCCCTTTGAAGCCGTCTCTCTATTATTTGGAGTATAGGCAAAGTCTGCATGCATCTTTACTCCTCAAACCTTAAATCCTTAATATTAACTTCTTAACTGGGATATATTACTACAACGTAAAAAAGTTAACCAGGGTTAACCAGGTTCGTGTACGCTAGCACCAGAGTATTAGGTATTAGATTGGAGTAGTTGGGTAGACCTTTGGGCATTAGGTTAGAGCCCGTAGTTTTCCTTAGCCTGTAGCTTATGCCCTTTCTGTGCTCTGGGTGTGAATTACTAGTATTGGTATGAGTACATCTTTTGGCTATGTTCTTACTTTTTTCGTGTTAATTTGTTTACTTTGTTTGCCTGTACTTCTGTGTTTGAGTAGGGGGTCTCTTGAAAACATCATCTTTGTTACCAAGTAGGGGCAAGGTTTGAGTACCCGCTTTTTCCCCAAACCCTACTTTTTGTGGAATTTTATTGGGTTTGTTATTGTTGTGAAAGTTCAAGATGACAATCTTCATCGCAATCTCCCAATTAAGATGATATTATTGCTAGTCTTGTTTTTCTAATATAGAATTAACATCTATGGATTTCAGTTTTTATGGTTTTTTTGGTGATTAATTAACATCTATGGATATCAGTTTTTATGGTTTTTTTGGTGATTAATTAACATCTATGGATATCAGTTTTTATGGTTTTTTTGGTGATTAATTAACATCTGATTCATAGGCTCCATCTAGTAGCTATAATCAGTAAATCGGTTTATCAGCAGAATACACAGAATAAGTAGCTTTTGATTTATTAGGGGATGTTAGTTTGTTACCTAACTCTTTTCCTTCCAAATGAATTCAGCAATTTCAGCTAAATAGTCCATACCAAACGGGCCCTTAAACTACGGTGTTGTTTTTTTATCTTCCCTGGAAAACAAATATTCTTTGTAGTATTAGGCTCTGTTTGGCATTAGCTTTAGCATTTCGCTTCAACGCTTTGGAAATGTGATCCAACAATAGCTTTTGCCATTAGCATTTTCAAATTGAAATATTTTTCCAAACTGCTAACGTTAATCACAAACCTTGTTGCCAGACGAAGTATTAGCCTACATTAACATAGATGTTAGCGTCAGCGTTTTGAAATGGCTATAGTAAGGGTATCTGTCTTTTAAATGAGTGTATGTGACCCATATGAGATTTTGAGATCCTATTTGTTGTTTTTTTAATAGGCTTCCGGTGCGGTGGGACCAGACGGCCATAGTTGTGATGAACGAGGTCCGTGTGAGCAGTCCCTACCTTCCCGAGTCAGTGAAGGGCGGTACCCCTGCCGCTAACGAAAGGGTGCGAAAAGTGGTAAGAAATTTCTCCAAAATGCCACATTCCCTTTCAAGATGAGAGTTTAGTGATAAATAAAAAAACATTTCAAAACTTGACAAATCCCATTTTTACCTGATACCTAACCCAAAATGACCCGCAACTTAACGGATTCGTTGAGTTAATCTCGTTTTTTTTTCAAATGATACACTTTAATATAAGATATAAAGTGATAAAACTATATTATCGTGTTTTTTTCTTCGTACTCTGTTTTAATGCACACTATTAGTGATAAAGACCATTCATCTATTATCTTTTTGTTGTGTGTATATGATTAGCTTGAATTTGAGAGGAAGAGACTACAAGCACGCAACTCCGGACAGTGACTGGTCTCGGACCCCCGCCCCCACCCCCACCCCCACCCCCATTGGGAAGCTACTGTTGCATCACCGCAAAGTGTGCTGCGGGTCCCACGTAGTTTCCCGCCGTGGCTTGATAACTTGTTGCAGACCTCAGTGAAAAAAATGTTACACTTCATATATTTGTATGATATTCTGGGTTTTATAATGGTGACTAATTTCCCATCACCACCACCACATGACACAATACCAGATTGTTTTGAAGCAACAGGTCAATTTTAGTTTGGTCTTTGTCTTGCTTTATACTTACTTGGTGGGTATATTGAGACTGGCCCACATGTGTAATGGGCTCAAGACGTAGTCGACCCATCTTCGGGTGAAACTAACGTGAAATGGGTCGGGTTAAACTCGACCCGTAAGTCATGTAAGCCCACCTAGACTAGGTGGGTGAGAGGGGGGGGGGTTAGGATTTAGGGTACAAAAGGGAATGAAATCAAGATCTCCACTTCCTAACCATTTTCTTAGAAAGTGGGGATGAGGAATATCTTGATGTGACATGAATCACATGAAAATTGAGTTTGGTATAATCCATTCTTCTCATTAAAAAAATTTACTTTTGAATTTGTACAAAGATTAAGAGAAAAGAAACTATGCGTTGAAAATGACATAGAGGAGAGAAAGTATAAGGGTCGACAATTCTTTTTTAAAAATAGAAAGTGAAATCTTTTTTTTCATGGACGAACGAAATAAAATGTAGAATCTTTATACTCCGTATTACTCTGTAGTAATACTCCAAAATCCAAACACATTCTTATAAAATAAAATTTATTAGTTTTGTATAGTTTCATCTCTCTAAATATTTGCGTAATATTTCCCACAATTCTATCATAAAATAAATGGTGGAAGTGCAAGGTTCAAGCGACATTGGATCTCAATGTCATGGGATGACCCGGGGAGCGCTCCAGTGCCCCGTTCGTAAAATTAACGGTTCCTACCCCTCCTACCCCCTCCCCCCCCCCCGGTAAATCCCCCCACCCGGCCCCGACCCGAACACACCCCCCACCCCCTTCAATTGCACCCCACAAGTTGATTTTGACTTTGGAGTAAAAATTTGACTCCAAAGTCAAAATCAACTTGTAGGGTGCAATTGAAGGGGGTATGGGGGTGTGTTCGGGTCGGGGCCGGGTGGGAGGATTTACCGGAGGGGTTAGGAGAGGTAGGAACCGTCAATTTTACGAACGGGGTGGTGGAATGAGATCCAATGTCACTTGAACCTTGGTGATGGTGGAATACAATTTATCAAAAAAAAGAAGTAAATGGCCCCCATATTTCTTTAAGCCCAAAAAAAAGTAATCCGTACAATTAGTGCATTTTCCATGAAGCCATATTTTTTGCAGAACAGAAATAAACTGAAATGAAGTAGGTAAACACTTTAGAGGTTAATCTTAGGATGCGTTTGGTATACGAAATTGATAGAATTGAAATTGAAATTCTATGGTTTTGAATTGGATGAAAATGAATTTTTCAATTCTAATTCATTCTTTACCCAATCAATTCTAAATTCACATATTTTTATGCTATCAAATAACATGATTAGAATTAAATTTTCCAATTTTAATTCATTGGCTTTAAATTCGTATACCAAACGTAACCTTTACTTTATTTCGTCTCAAAGAATTGTACGATCCAATCTTAAAGACTTAGGATTAGGGTTATCTTCTTTTTTTTTTTTGTGGAAAAAATTAATTAGTGTAAGTTGGTCCTTTTTAGTACTGCCAAATATATTTGACTTTGGTATTTTTCTCTTTGATGAGACACAACTTAAATCCTGTCTCATTAAAGTAAAATCATATGACAAAGAAAAACAGTCAAGCATAATACCACGTCGCTCTCAAAATTAAAATCCATGAAATATCAAGTTAAAGTTCAGAAATTTAAAAATAAAAAAATTTTAAATTTTAAAATAAGATAAAATTGTGTGATTTAAATTTAATTATATGAGAGGATAGAAATAATATGAATCATTCAATCATTTTTTTAAATATGAAAAATTAATTTTCAAACAACCCCAAAAATATTGTAAAAAAGAGTGCTAGAATCAATTCCATAATTATTTGCAACGTTTGGGAGTTTTCAACACTTTTCTAGAAATAAGATGCACTTAAATAATAAAAGATATTTTAATTTAAAATCCACAAAAGGCAAGTTTGTGAAGTTTGTGAACATATGTTTGTGACTCTAGCATTTTCTTTAAATTAATTAGTTTTATAATGTTTGACAATGTTCTTAGTGACCTAGCATAGTGTAAGTAATTAGTGGATTTATTTACTTGATGGAGTATTTGATTAGTGACCACTAATTGGGGATATGAGTTTTTCTTTGGATTCTACTAGGATAAGAATATATCCTCTCCCTTTAAATTTTTTGATACCTTAGCTTCATAGCATAAGACTTCTCTAAATACCATGTACAATCTACATTATTTGTCACTAATCTACGATTAACGTTAAATCTACTTTCTTTAATACCTCAGCTTCATGAGGTCTAAGAAAATTGTTATAAAATAAAAAGTATGTGGTTGGAATTTATTTAGACCCTGTTTGGTATGCAGAATTCAAACTCTAAAATTAAAATTGAAGACAACGATTCTGATTTTGCTGTTTGGTATCACAAAAAATATGTGAAATTGAAATTGGTAGTGCCAAAAATGATTGGAGAATCCAATTCCATCTAAATCAATTTCACAAAATTTCAATTTTTCAATTCAAACCCTTAAAGGAAAGAAAAATATTAGTACCCACACATTTATATATTACTACGTATTAATTATTAAAGCAGAGAATTGTTGGTAACCACATATCAATCTATACAATTTATAAAATTATTATAGACTAGAATTGGTTAATGCACCATTTTGTGCCATTTATTGGGACAAAGATTAAAGACAAGACCAAAACAAATTAAGAGTGCCCCTCCCCTCCCATAAGCTAGTTAAGTAGATACACTGTACCTAGTATTAGGAACAAACAACTATACCAATTAAATTAACTTGTGCTTATATTTGTTTTTTATATATAAATAAAAAAGTAGAATTATAATTTGTTAATGTTTTATTTATTTTTTTAATAAAACAAAAGTTAATGGTGACCATATTGTGAATTAAGTGAAGACACACATAGAGTGGTCGAGTGTCTACCATGTTTGAGGAAATAAACAATCTTTCATTAAATATTTCGAATCAAAAATCTCCAAACACCTAACATGCCGGCATGGACCGACAATTACCCCAAAAAAAGTGTAATTCTGTTCTTAATACCTCTTAATATCTATCTCGATTTTATATTATGACATTGTATGGTTTGGTTGTTATACAAAACTTAAACAGTTTTTTGAAAATTTTAAAATTTTCTAGAGAATTGTAAAACTTTCTAGAAGATTCATAACTCTAGCTAGAAAAGTGTAGAATTGTCCAAAAGTTTATTGATGGTCTCTACGAACTTCGAATTGAGAATTTAAAATTCTACGAAATTGATTTGGATGAAACTGAGTTCTCTAATTCTAATTTATTTTTTGCACTACTAATTTTAAATTCATTTATTTTTTTGTTACCAAACAGCAAAATTGAAATTATTGTCGATCTAATCCATAATTCTAATTCCATAGTTTGAATTTTGTGTATCAAGCGGAATCCGAAGATGTGAAAATCTTTCAAACATTCTAGAATATGTGAAAGATTCTAGAGAACTAATCCATACCATTCAATGGAGTAATAACAATTAAATACTCAGTAACATTCATTCCCAACTATTCAAAAACCAAGAGAAAACTCAATATATTTGAGTGAGAAAATTAGGAGAGTTGTTATAAAATGAGAGGGAAAAAAAACTACTCGGAAATTATGATATTAAATACAATATGATATATTTCTGATTTCTTCTCTCTATTAATTCTTCATTCTTCTTCTTGTTCTTAATGGTGTTTTACAAGGATTCTAAACTTCCTATTTATAGTAGAAAGGCTTAGTGGTAATATTATTACAAATAGTATACATACTATATATACAAATGGCAACTAGAGGGTGATGATAGACAATTTGTTCCTGCAACTATTATAAATGAAGAATTTATACGGAGTATATTTCTTAACATGAATAACTTTTTTAAGAAAGCTTAATTAGGAAGTTTCTACTCTTATGTTTGAGTAAGCTACTACAATGTGAATCCATTTTGTAAACATAACTATATATGTAGTTCTATTTACTCTTTTGCATGGTGGATGGTTGAGACTTACGAACACACAACCTCGCCAGCCTCGATTGCTGCAGGATTTTATTAAATTGTTAATGTTTTTTACTACTCATTTAATAATACTAGGGTCTCATTTCGTTTTTGAAAACGCGTTCCATTTTAACCGAATACACTTGTACGAAAGTAATATTTGATTTTTTATAGAGGTGTAGAAGTGTAGAACACACCATATAATCAATGATGCCTACAAGTAAATCCGAGATAAATTTCGCCTCTTAAAATAAATAAATAAAAAAGAAATTTAATTATTGCAACCAAACACGCCCCAAATATTGTCTGTCTATATATATATATATAATCAAGTCTGACAGCCACTGGACTGCGCAGTGCTTATCTCTATCCTCCTCCACATTCTCCTTCTTCTTCACATATTTCCAGAAATACCCCTCCAGATATATATATATACACACATACAGTATATAGATATATAGAGAGAAAGTGAGAGAGGGGAAAAAATGGGGAATTGTCAAGCGGTAGATGCGGCAGCGCTGGTTGTACAGCATCCCGGCGGGAAGATAGAGCGGAGGTACTCGCCGATAACGGCTAGTGAGGTGATGAAATCGAACCCCGGCCACTACGTTTGTCTCATCATACCTCTGCCCGTCGCCGGAGATGAGAATTCCGGCAACCGGTTAAGCACCGTCAAGCTTCTTAAGCCTACCGAGACTCTGGTTCTCGGCCGGGCTTATCGCCTTCTTACCACTCAAGGTTCCCCCCCTACTTTTGTTATATGGACTTAATTTTATCAATTTTTGACACATCAATATTCTATTGTTTCTTTGTGATTTAAGCGGATTAAATCTGTTTATAAATAACTCCATTTTTTTTTATAACGGTTGGAGTTCTCACATCAGAAAATAAAAAAGAATACCACTAGCATATATCAACTTGAGCTTTTAGGTTAGAATAGTGAATTACGTACAACTTTATATGCAATTTTACCAACACTCCTCACCGAAATTTTAATATTAAGTCATAAATGAGTTGATATATAAGAAGAAAAAAATTAAGTAGGTCCTAATTACTTATTTTTAAGCTCATTTTTTCATTTTGATCATCTCATTTACAAATATCTATCCTTAACTTCTGATGAATATTCTCATCTGGTTAAACCCTCATTGAAGTTACTTTACAAAGATATTTCCATAAGCAAATAATGAGTCAAAAATTGCTTATCTGAAAAAGAAATCACCCCAAATAGGAGGAATAACATTTATCTTCAAAATAAGATTTTTATATTTTTATTTCTAAATAAGAATTTTCATCGGGATATTTTGGCATCGTACTCCAAAGTAATTTGGGAAAAAAACATGGCGTTCCTATTTCGGCAGTTTATCCTTACTTTTTCATAGTTTAATCATTTTTCCTATTAGGCTGTTAGAAATATAAGTCAATAAGCATGAAGGCAGAGAAACACCCCTTTCATGTAATTTTTGAGAATCTTTGAAAAAACATTGAATTTACATAAGTGACATGAATAAATGATTATGTCATTTTAGATCATCTTTGTAAAGTCTCGAATTTCTGGAAGTGTTTGCATTAATTGTTCCATTTTCATAAGGTACAATTATTAGAGGTCATCCATTTATAGCTATTATTATTAAAGAATAATCTTTAATACGCGGTGGAGTATAAGCTTAAAGTTTTGGTTGAATTGCTATTTAATTTTGCAAATTCAGTTGTGAGTAGTTCTTGATTGAGAGCGTGTTAGAGTGTAATATATAAACCTTTTCATGAACCTCTAACCATCGGCTTAATCTATTAGCTGAGTTAAATTTTTAACTGTTATATTTTGAAATTTATACTCTGGGTAAAATCAATTTTGACATATTTAACTTGTTTATGACTTTAAAAAAAGGCAAAAAGTATACGGAGTGCTACATTCATTCCCAGAGTGTTGTTCAGTTTGACTTTTCTGAACTCCTATTCAAACTGAACAAACTTTGATCTTTAATTAGAAAAAATCTATTAGATATTAGTATGGGAATGATTTCACTAGTTAATAATATGCAATGCAAATTCAATGTAATTGATGATTAAAATTTATCTAGTTTAATTCAAAAAAGTCAAAATAGACAAATACTTAGAGTAAGTTTTACACTTTTACAAGTTTTTTTTTTTACTTGGTGTGGCTCCACTTTCAATCTTTTTTTATTTTTTTTTTTTTTTTTTGCATAATATTAGATTGGGATTTGACTTAATTGTAAAAATTTGTTGTGATGGTGCAGAGGTAGGGAAAGTGTTGAGAGATAAAAAGCACAAAAAGATGAAGACAGATTCACACAGGGAGCAGAGTGAGGGGTGTGAAATGGAAGCTGTCATTGATGAAGAAATCAACAATTACCCCAGCCAAGTAATATTATATTCCCCACCACACTTTTGTTTGAATTGATTATAGAACTTGCATAATCTTAATCCTTAAATAAATTTGCATAAAATTAAGGTTTGAAAAGGTTAGGTTAGGGCCTGTTTGGTGATTGATATTACATGGATTCTCAAATTTGGAACCAAGAAAAAATATATGTAGTTTTGGGTTGGAATCTCATAACTCAATGCCAAAAATCCAACCCTTTTTTTTTCTTCTGATTGTGTGAAAATAATATTTCAGGGCATGAGACATAGGCAGAGGTCCGGGCCAAGAAAACCCGGCGCGGAGAGGTCTAACAAGTCATCATGGCGCCCTTCGCTGCTTAGCATTTCCGAGTCTCTGAGCTGATACAACTTATAAACCTCCCAAGTTTACCTGCAAAACAATATAATCATCCCATGAAGAAGATGAAGAAGTTATATTTGGACTGTACATTGAGAAGAAGAAGCAAGAGAGGGAAGGTTGATTATTCATGCTCAATACATATATATATATTGTATATGCAAAGCATATTTATGGAGTAAATTCCACGAATGGTCTCTTCTGTATTTGGGGACATTGCATAATTTAGCCCAATATTTTATAAAATTCTATGCGATTAGAGGCTCGCTTTCATCGCGAGAATTGCGAATTTTGGTTTTCTTTCCATTGATAGTTTTTCAAAATGACAAGGACTAAAAAATAAGTAGCAACCTTGCCTCTAATAGAGACCAGGGAGGTGTTTGGGGTTTCATTATAAAAATTGTTCTTGAGTTTATATGTTTATCAATGTACTTCTATTTTTAGATTATGATGACTTCTAAAATCTAAAATAGAATCTAGAAATACGTTCAAACAAAGCTAAAATTATCTATTTTCCATTTTTACCTTAATTTTTTGTTATTTTCACCAGACCAATATCCCACATTCTTAAACACCTTTTTAATAAGAAGAGTCTGTTTGGGATTAGTTAAGGATACATGGCTTACAACTCACTTGGTAGCTGAACCAATGACAGACATGACTTGTTTGGTGCATTTCTATTCACATATGCATGGTTTTCCAGTTCATCACTATATATGGATATATAATCGATTGAAAGGAATATAATTAAACTACTTCTGTTGCAAAATAATGTTTTTCAATGTGACATTTTAATCACTAATATTTGTATTTATATATTAATTTTTTCAAATAAAAATATGATAGTATTTGAAAATTTTACTTTAAAACAAATCAAACGATATTAATTTTGATCCCAACAAGTCAAAAAAATTATTTTTGGATGGATAGATGGAATATATATATATAGTCATATACAATGCGGAGTACTACGTAGTAAATAATACATGTACAATTATCCTAATTTTGTTAAACAAATACTTCACCCGTCCTTAAATGATTTACATACTTCACTATTCAAAAATTGCGATAACTTTTGTTTATTTGTGTGTTTTTATCGACTATTTGGTGAAATAAAATATTCTTGTCGATCACCTTTCGTTTTGTAGAACTTTTGATATATACTTTTATTTTTAAATATGGAAGTTTTATTTTTTTATTTATATATCAATCTTTAAATAAAATAAATTGAAAAAACTTGAGATTTTACTTCAAAGTGTAAATTATTTAGGGACAGATGGAGAACAATAATTACTCATCATGACTCATGAGTATATGTACATAGTGTATGGCTAATAATGCAATTTATTATGTCATGCATGCATGTGTTAGCTGAATTGGTTTGTTAAATAGCTAGCTCAGTGGAGAGGGTTTCTAATGTTACGTAAGTAGTGTGACATCGTGATACCAGTGGTTTGTGGTACTTACGGTGTTCCTACTCCCTAACCACGTCCTTTATAGATAGATACTCTCTTGTCGAAAAAAAGACTTCATAATAAAATTAACACGATTATTAAGAAAATTAGAATTGTATTGTTAAAAAAATTACATAAGAGAGGACTGAGAGCAAAATTTTAAAAAAAAATGAGAAATCTCCGTGTATAGGAGTAAAAAAGTATGAAATATTTAAATATGAGTCATATGTCTTTTAAGATCAAGATATGAGTATAATGATAGTAATTTAAGAGCACGTGTTGGCATTGTGATGGAATAGTGATGACAGTGTAATATGGTAGTGTGATCAGTTGATCGTTAGGGATCCGCGGCGGCACTCTGGTGGCCAGCAGCAATGGAGGGCAGTGTGGCAATGATAATGTGACTGTTGCATTGTGACAGTGTAGTGACTGTGGCAGTGTAACAATGACAGCGTAAACTCCTATTTTGGTCTTAAAAGATTTAGGAATTATATTTTAGTACTTTCATACTCCCTCCGTCCCTGAGTGTTTGTCCACTTTCATTTTTGCACACCATCCAATGAACTTTTTTAATTCATTTTATCTTGTAATTTGTATATAAAAAAATTATAAAAGTTATATATTAATAATCTATATGTTAAGACGAATCAAACAAGATCACACATGACTATTTTTAGGCTTACACATTGAGAGAATTTGATGAGTCAAAGTGCTTAGATGAATAGTTCCAAAAGTCAAAAATGGACAAACACTTAGGGACGGACCAAGTAGTTTTTACTCCTATCTAGGGAGTTCTCCCAAAAGTAATAACTCCAAATAGGAGTACAACATAGAGAAAATATTAAAATAGGAGTTTCATATTTTTATTCCAAAATAAGAGTTTATAGTTCACACTGTGGTAATGACACTGTATTTGAAAATTTCACAATATTTTTTTGATAATATATTTGACACTATAAATGCATTTTAACTCAAATAAAAATATGAAACTTCTATTTTAATATATTTTTCAGTGTTCTACTTCTACTTTAATCCTTTTCTCAAAATAAAATGAGTCACACTTTTTTTAAAAATAAAAAATAAAACTTTTTTTTAGACAGACAAAAAATTACGGTAGAATATGTTTAAGAAATCATCCCATATAGAAGTAAAACATAAAAAAAGTTCCAGAATAGAAGTTCCATATTTTTATTCTCTCAATGAGAGTTTGTATTGTAATAACGTGGCATTGAACACAAACATTTTACTCCCTCTGTCCACGATCTTCCCAGTCACGATTCACGGAGTCAAACTTTACTCACTTTGTTTGCTCATTTTTACTAGTCATTTCATAAAATAATATAGTTTTGTCATCTCTAGTTTTGTAGAACTTTTCATGTAGTTTATTACTATATAAATTTTATTTTAAAATTTTACTCCTATAATCAATTAAATTGAATTAAAAATAAAGTCGGTCAAGCCTCGTAACGCGTAATGGGAAGATCTTAGATGGACTGAGGGAGTATTATATTTTTTAGTAATGTACATGATTATGATTCGTAAGGTAAATATATTTTAACTTCTACTTCGTATTTCAAAAATAAGAACATACAAACTTCTATTTTAATATATTTTCAATATACTTGTTTTTTCCAATATTCGGAGTATTTGTGGAAGTAGAGAGGATTCCAAGAATAATAAATTCAAAACCATCCAAGATCCAACCGCCAAACCAACCCATAAACGAACCAATCGGTGGTTCCCCCGGCAAATCTGCATTCATCCACCCAATTGTCGACGGAATTAGTCGGATTAGGTCAAACCTAATTTGGGTTCTTGATCTTCTGGTAATATGGATTCTTCTCCTCTCTTAATTGCTCATGTCAATATCATTGCACATCAGCCCACTCATAATAAATTTGACATTTTTTTGTTTGTTTTTTCTTTTCTTTTTCTTTTCTTAAATTCTGTACAAGCCAGCAAATTTCATGGCAGGCAATGGAAATGCAGTGTTCTACAAATTGTTAGCCAGTAGACCATATTCTATCCCCATATGTACCCCATACTTAGGACAATTTCTTGGTGGGAATAAATTGAACTATAAATACAAATAAGGGTTTGAATCTGTCCTGGCATATTCAAGTATTCAAGGAATAAATTGTACTCTTCTTTGTCATCTAAGCTACGCCCCCGGAAAAGCGCGGATAATTCGTAGGCACTTAAAGGATGGTTAGCCCCCGGGCTCGCCGAGGAGGGAGTGTATGTATAAACCGTTTGTCATTGTCTTCCATAGGGGCAACCGTGGTGGGTATCTAGCACGATCCTTATTTGAAATTTTTTAGAAGACAGCCAATGCAATTAAAGTATCACAGATTACTCTGTATCTTTTAGGGACCACACTTTCCATGTCTAGATAACTTAAAGAGTGACAGAAAATGAGTTTTTCATTTCTCGCCTTGCACGTTGCAACTCCCCCTTTGGTGGAGGAACTGTAAAAAAGGCACCAACTGGTGTAAAGAAGATTGCTGGATTATGTGTTGCATTTCTGGGTTTTATTTGCGGACTTCACTGGCTTTGATTAGTCAAAACTAATAAGCTTGATGCATATATATACTACAGAGTAATGGGTTTTAAATGTTACTAGAATAAAACAAAAATGTGCCCTAAAGATAGTCACATACTCACACTTATGAGGCTTAAACATTAAAAAAAGAACATTAAAAAAAGAGTTGTATGGAATTTGAAGCTTCCACGCCTCAATTGTGCATGAGCCTTTTTGTATAGAGCATCAATATGTAGACCTCAATGTGGTTTTTGTTCTTAAGTTGAGGTGGCCTTGAGACAGACCACATGCTAGGAGCACCTAACCTTTCGTTCCATCTTTCACCCCACTTTGCATGGACACACAAAGACACCCATTAGGTAGAAACAAGACATTACAAAACACTGTGTTACCCTGTGTACAATGTTACTAATTAAATAAAACAAGGACCATCCTTTCAATCTCATGTGTTCTTCCCTTAGTCTGTAGTTGGGGTATGTGTGCTTTTTGTCTATGCGTTCTTACTTGGACTGGGCTACTATGCTTACTTTACTTTGTCTGTGCTTCTGTGTTTGAGCCTAAGTCTCTTTGAAACAACCTCTCTACATCTGAGCAAGGGTAAGGTTTGGGTACACACACCCTCTCTGGATCCTGCTCTTATGGGATTTTACTAGGTTTGTTGTTGTTGGGATTAAGAAAGTCTGAGAGGCATTATGTGTTAGAGATGTCTGATTAGTGAGCTTAAGACACATTTTTCTTTACCCTTTATTTGTTCACAGGGTGGACTTGACGAAATATTGCATGATGAACATTTTGTGTCATGCATGCTCTGCTGCTAGAGTATCAAAGAGTTGCTGTCTTGTTGGAAGCCACTCAATTTGCATATTTTCAGCACTTCCATGGAACGTGAAGTTCAGTCGGATCGGTATTAGAAGCGGTGATATAAAGTCATTTTCGGGAAGTGTTTTTGTCAGGTCTTATTCATCTGCAAACTCAAGGAAGAATGGTTCCCAGTCACAAAAGGCGGGTCTTGCTGCTGCAAAGGCAATGGATGAAGAGAAAGATACTTTCTTTGTTGTTAGAAAAGGAGACCTCATTGGCATCTACAAGAGTTTGAGTGATTGTCAGTCTCAAGTTGGATCCTCGGTAATGAAATACTAAACAATGCATTCGATTTATTCATCCACACTGTCTAGTCCATGTGTTGCATTTTCTTTTGTATTTGAGCTGGGGACCTCTTGAAAGCAGAATCTCTACTTTCAAGTAGAGGTAAGGTCTGCATATAGCCACCCCGAGACCCTATTTTTTGTGGGATTTTATTGGGTTGTTGTTGTACAATCTAGTCCATTTTTATGTAATTGTGATGTTGTGTTGTTTAAGTATTACATTAGTCTCCCACTCGATTTTCTGCACTTGATCATGGCATTTTGTTCATTAGTTCTTTAACAACAATGATGGTGATGATAATAGTCAGCTTCTTCTTGTTCTTCTTCATATTGGATTTGTAATGATTTCCTTTTTCATTTTCTTTACCTTGACAGATTTGTGACCCTCCTGTTAGTGTGTATAAAGGCTATTCCATGCCTAAGAGCACGAAGGACTACCTAAAATCTCGAGGGATTGAAAATGCTCTTTATTCGCTCAGAGCTCAAGATCTAATTGGAAATCTTTTTGGCACTCTATTTCCATGCCCATTGCAGGTCTTCTTCTCTATCTTTTCATTGCCATGTTATGCTCCAAAATTATAGCTTGAATGGATGGTATATTGTCACCTTTTTTTTGGGGGGGGGGGGTAGGAGTCACTTCCAAGTTGAACGGAGCATTGTAGGGCCCTCAAATGGACCGCAGTCATAATATGAAACTGGCCCTAGGTGTCAAAAAAATTTGGGCCCTCAAATGGACCGCATACATAATATAACTATATTATGTTACCGTTCTTTTTTTTTCCAGCAGCCTCCTCCTACAAGTGGAATATCAAATGAACAATTGCAACAGAAAGTATCACACGAAGCAGTGTGTTCAGAAACTGAGGTAAGCCACGGGAAACATTTTGTTCATAGTTCTGCTCTGTGCAGACTGCAAAACATGTTAGAACAACTTTGCTTGTTTTTCTTTTTCTCCCAACTAACATTAGTGTCAATTACATTTTTTGCCAGAATTTCCGATATGGTTAATAATCATTCCAAATACCTTACATTCACATTCGGACATGGAATGAGAAATCACAGCTATTGGTTCGTTGATTTTCAGCTGAACATGAACTTTTATATTCTTTACATTCATTAATTGCCTAACGTTGTTTAAAGAAAGTGTCATGGCATAGTTTGATGTCATGCAACCTTGTTACAAGGGAATGATGAGATTAACATAAGCTCTTTTTTTAAAACCTAAGCGGCAGTGAGATTTGAACTCGTAACCTCTAAGTTAACAAGGCTTTAATACCATGGTAAAGAACAAACTCAACATAAAACCCAAGTCCGTGGTTGAAGGCCCAGGAAAACTTTTCTTTATTTAACGATCTCCAAAAAAGAGCCATGTTTGATTAAATAGAGATACTTTCTCAAGTAACTTTTTGAAATAGAGTAGTAAACACGTTTCGTACTCCCTTAGTCTCACAAAACCTTACCAAGTTTAATCGGGCACGGAGATTGAGAAAACAAAGTTTGTGTTGGGTATCGATTTACTATGGGGTGGGTTACCATAATCAAAGATTTCCAAATTCCAACATTATTATTGGACGCGATCTTAATAATGCTTGCAGCTAAGCCTGAATTCTTTTAAACTTTCTTAGCAGCTTCCGCCGCGCTCCTGTACTCTTGAATTTGATGGCGCTTCTAAAGGTAACGGACAAGCGGGGGCAGGCGCGGTGCTACGTGCTGACGATGGAAGTTTGGTAAGCAGTATTATCCTCTTCATTCAGGAAGGGCTTCGCAAGGAAATGACATTAGATAGGATCGTCTATATGGGGATCTAGGATTAGAACCTTTAGGTTTATGATGATGTGTTTTTGCCTTAGGGCATCCCAATGCCCTAAGCATTTCACTATTTCAAATTCTCCTCCGGACTTTTACAAAAACTACCCCAATCCTCAGACTTTCTATGTCTTGGGTTTGATTTTCATTGGATGGGTTGAGTTGGGAGTCTTGGAAGTTAGTCTGAGATTTCAAAGACTCCATTCCAGACTTTCCTCATTTTCTGTCCACCCCAATGGTAAAATATGGAGTAAAGAGTCTTAAGACCCCCCCCCCCCAAGACTCTCTCAAGACTCCCACTGGGCCTTGAGTCTGTAGCCACTGCATGTGTCTTTTTTGTACTTTGGGTCGTTGCTAGTGTCGGTTAGTATGTGTGTTTCTTGTCTTTTGCTATTAATTTGTTCGCGCTTCGTGGTGTAGTATGTGCATCTAGGTTTGAGTCAGGGGTGTCTTGGAAACTGCCTCTCTACTAGCGCGTAGGGATAAAATCTTGCATATACACACCCTTTCTAGACTTTACTTTTTGTGGAATCCTACTTTGTTTTTTTTTGTTGTTGTTGTTGAAACATTTCCCCTCTGCAGATTTGCCGTCTTCGTGAAGGTTTGGGAGCCGCAACGTGTAACGTTGCCGAATATCGAGCCATGATTTTGGGATTAAACTATGCACTCAGCAAAGGATATACTAGCATTCGTGTTCAGGGCGACTCCAAACTTGTTTGCAAGCAGGTTTCATCTTTTATATGTACTCAATCTGTCCCCAAAAAAAAAACAGTCTTGTTTAATCATTTCCAACACTCGCGCTTTAGTCAATTTCAAAAGTTGTACCTTTGTGAAAAAGGGCTCTTTTTATGCGACAAACGGTGTTTTTATTTATTTATTTATTCTCATTTCATTTTCTCTGCCATAGGGAGTCTAAACTATGTATGTGTTATTGGTCATTAGATCCAGGGGGGGTTTAAGGTCAAAAGCAACAATCTTTCTAACGTGTATGCGCGGGCAAAGCATCTCAAGGATATGTTTCGTTCTTTCGAGATAAATCATGTTTTACGGGTAATCTCAGTACGTATGTTTTTCTTTATGAAAAACTAATTCTTGTTTCATTAAAAGCTGATTTTTTTTCATGTGATGTTTTGAAAAAGAACCATGAATTAGATAAATATCATAAACTTAGTTAAACCAACAAATAAATCAATAAAATATTTTCTCTCTCTCAAAAAGTGTACCTTAATTAGTATGTACATTTCACTTTGTAGGAATTCAACTCTGATGCTGATAAACAGGCAAACTTAGCTGTTGCACTTCCTGGTAATTCTTCATCCCCTTTCAGATTGATTACACAAAACCCATTAATGGCCATTGCTAATGGAGCTAAAAAGAGTCATTTTTGTCAATTCTTTTTTACCTTTAGGTGAATAATGAATTAAAATCAAAACGACACTTCTTGATCCCTAATGGCCCTTAGACCTCAATGGAGTTGGGATTATACTGGGTTTGTTGTTGTAGGCAAAATAAATGGAGATTAAACTAATTGTCCTCGGTTTGCGAGCTCAAATCAGGGGGCAATATCGTCAATTTTATAAAAACTCGTTCGCATGTCAATGCAGATGGGCACATTCAAGAGGAGATTGAGAAATCATACTACACAGGAGACAGCCATGACCAGAATCCATTCATTCATTGCAGCAATGCTCAACAAGAAGAACTATAGTAGCAATAGAAATCATACTACAGGTTATTAAGGATGGGAGGACAAACCCAACTCTTATTTCCGAATTCGATGGTATCAGAGCCTTGCTGACGAAAAGGTCAGAGTTCAAAACTCAGCGTTACCCAATTTTATAAAAATAATTTTTTTTATAAAATTAATATTCACTTGCAAGATTCGAGCAAACACAAATCTCGCTAGTATGTGAGAGGACGCGTTTGAGTATAAAATTATTCCCGAGCGGCCGAGCCTAGATGCGACTACAACTATAAGCTTGAGCTTTTGGTTGAGTTGATTTCTTGACAAAGCTCGTAGTAGTCTCGAGCTTTTCTAACAAAGAAGAATTGTTCTTTCTGTAAGCATCGACATTTTCATGTTTCGGTTATCACATGTTCTTACAACTTCTACTTTTATCTTTTCTACTACATGAATTGATATAAACATTGTTAGAATTAGAATCTTTCAAAAAAAAGAAAAAAGAGTAGGATAAGAATTTGGGAGGTAAGGTGCATGTAGAAATTAATTCTATTCAAAAGAATAAAGGGGCATTGGACCTATTTCAAGAATACTTGATAATGAATTAAACTCTATTGTATCTAGAAACAAATGCTCTTAATACTTGTTCAAACTAATGCTAGTAATAACCATGCTATGATGCATTGAATTTATTAATTTTTTTTATTATTACTTCCGTCCAAAATGAAGCAAAAATTTAATTTTTTTCAATTAAGTTTATTTTAAGCTTGACGTAGAAATAAAAATGAAAATTTATATATTTAAAAACCATGTCAAAAATTCTAAACAAAAGGTGATAAGAATATTTTATTTTATCAAATAATCAATAAAGTCGTAAAAATAAATAAAGTTTCCGTAACTTTTAAATAGTGAACGTTGTCACTTTTTAGAACAGATCAAGCATCATCTTGGAAATATCTATTCCTCATTTTAGAATAAATTTTCTTTTTTAATTTGTGTTTAATAAGGCATCATTTTGAACAAAAAATTTATGCATGTAATATTCAGAGCACTCCTACGGAGTTGTATTTTTGTACGAAAATGCTAGTCACAAAAAAATAGTTCGCAAAATTTACAAATTTACTTTTTGTAGATTTCAAATTAAAATACAGTATCTTTTATTATTTGAGTGCATATCATTTCTAGTGAAATATTAAAAAGATAAGTTTGTAAAATTTTGTAAAATATTTATTTGCGATTATAGCATTTTTCATTTTTGTATTTTCTAAATAAATCTCAACCATTCAAGCTTTTACTTCCTTGAAAACATGACAAATCAAACTATGAACATTATTTTTCCTTTAAACACATGACAAGTGGAATTAGTAACATTATTTTAACAAAGAGTATCCAGTTGTCCCGTGAACAAGGGTGCATTTTAGAAATGTCCTCTCTGCCCCTAATTACTCCACTTTGAAAAGTATCACTCCCTCCATCCTAATTTAAATTGCATATTTCGATTTACGATGTTTGATTGAAATTATTTTCAAATCATTAATATGAAAAATAGTGTAAAATTAAAAAATAAAAATTTCTCCATATATATTTAAAAAAACTACTCCCTCCGTCCGGAAATGTTCTTCTCATTTGACTTTTCTTGGTTTTCAATATTGTATTTTGACCACTAATAAATTCACTTGTACATAGTTATATTTTATAAAAATTTGATATTTGAAAACTTTGTTTCAATATGAATATATTGATATTAAAGTTATGTCATAATACAATATATTTTTTCACATATCGGAATCAAAATTTACAAACTTTGACTAAGAAAAGTCAAATGGAAAAAATATTTTCAGACAGGTAGTATATCAAATGATCTACAAAACTAATGGGGACATGACTATATTATTTTATCAAATAACTAACAGAAAATTGCTAAAAAATGGATGAAATTTGACCTTGTGAATAGTAAACAAGCGTTTTAATTTGAGACGGATGGGGTACTAAAGATACCAAAAAAAATGAACAATGATTGATTAAAATTCAATTACATTTTGATTAAGGCTTTGTTTGGATGGGTATGGTTGGTTAACACTCCATGTCCTTTTTTTTATCTTCTTACTTTCCTTTTTAAATGTCCCTATTTAATCTTTTCATTTCCTTTTAAAGAAAGAGTTCTATTCACATTCATTCTTTTTTCTTTGCACAAATTTCAACTACAAATATTTTCCTCATAAAATTCTATGTAAAATCAAAATGGAAAGATTGCTAATTAGAGTGAGGGAGTACTTTATACTCTCTCCGTCCAACAATAAACTTCTCATTTTGAATAGCGTGTAAAACCTAAATTTTTTAAAAATTACTTTATTTATAAATTGGTGTATCATAAAAAGTACAAATTACATTGTTCAAAACTACATCAAAAGTTTTACAAAACGAGATGTGACAAAAATATTTTATCTTATCAAATGTTTGATAATATTATGCAAACAAACATAAGTTATCGAGAACCCGTAATAGTAACTGGAAAGTTTATTGTTGAACGGAGGTAGTAGTATTTGACAAATTCATTAGGGGATGAAAGTAATGAAATGGACCTTGTTGAATATTAAGATCCTTACCCCCTTCTAAGATACATCCCAAAGTTTGAATGGATATGGATTGGTATATACTCCAAAGCCATGGGTTCATTAGAGTATTGCTATGCTTCCTAAACAGCTTGACAAACATACCAGATAATATATGCAACCAACAAGGCACTCTCTTCACATTATACTCATCTTCCATCGTCGGTGTCAATCTCTCGTTGATTTTCTCGCATCAAGTTCACATCGATTCCCACGGTTTGCTTCCCATTTGGACAAACCTGATGCAGAGCCTACACTCTCCATTCTAGAGTCGAAGAAGATGGTCTTTTCCGGTTCAATGTTCTAAAAACTAAACAGGTACAAAAGGGTTCGATTCAAGCCCATTGATCTGCATATATAATAAAGACGAGCAAGAATGCAAGCAACCGTGGATACCAGTAGTTAATAGACAAAGGGCAGAATGGCGAAGCGCTTTTTGGGGTAGTTCTCAAACTTATGCTGATACCATCTGTGGGTTTCTGCAGCAGCGAAGACAAGATTTGCCACCTGCAGACAACGTAATTACTTGCCTCAAATCTCAAAATACTAAGACCCCAGTTTCTACAGTTTGATGTGTTCAAAACAACAAAAGGGTGTGCACCATGAGAGTGTGATGCAAGCAAACCTTACCTTGCAATTTTGCAAGAGGCTGCTACAACAACTCAAACCCGTGACCTCAAAGTTGTAAGACGAGTTAGCATCACCTCAAGGGTGTACCAAGGCTGCTTTTATTGGGTTATACTACGGCCACACCATGGATGACGCCAAAGTTGAGACTGTCAACATTTCACGGACAATGACTCTCTATGCATAATTGTCTTTGATGGTGTCAACCTTGGTGCCATTCTTGGGGTTAATGTAATATTTCTCTTTAGACATACTCCATCTGACCCTTTTTAATCCTCTTTTTTTATCTAATAGTCAAGCCATATCTTCTTTTCCTACTAATTTTCTTTACTATTTGTTAAAATAAAACAGTCAAGTCACCTCTTTCTTTGTGGAAATTTTAATGCAGTTTTTAAATATATAAATTTTGTGTTTACATTTTTTAAAAATATTTAGATAAATTAACTTCACTCAAACATCGTAACTTAAAATGGAAGATTAAATAGGGAAAGATGGAGTATTAAACTAAAATGCAAAAAAAAAAGTGTAGTGTCGGAAGTACGTAGTCATACCACGAAACCAAAGACTAGCCACAGTGTGAGATCCAAACATCCACTTGCAAGCACGAGGCCAGAATAAATAACCTTCATTACATGCAAAACCAGATATCAAGTAAATATACCAATCACAAATCCCAATCATTCTCTTGATAACAAAGTATTCACTTTGATGGTATATAGGTTGATGGGCAGTAGAGCTATTGTAGGAAAGGGATTTACAATCTCAGCCAGATAATGCGGAGATGAAACATATTCAAACCAATCACCATGAGGGATTAAGTATTCTTCGTTGTGTTCTTTGTTCTTCCGCAACATGCCCTAGTATCCATCATAAAAGCAAAGTTAGTGCTGCCTATGCAGATAGAAAATTGCTAAAGTCGTCCCAACATTTCACCTTCTCAAAGACATTGAATAGCAACGGTGTTTGTGGATGTGTGTGAGAAGGTGGAGTGAGAGGTGGGTGCGCCTAGCATGGTTCAGGCGGGTGAGTGTGCTTATGAAGGAAATATTGCATAAGACTATAAGAGCCCGTTTGGCTAAGGTAAAAAATTGGCAGGTATGAATGAAGTGGCTGTTTTTTAATATGGCTGATGGCGTACTATTTTAAATTTTATTCACAGACAATTCAAAGAAAATAATATCTAAAAATGAGAGTAAAAAGGTCTTTTCAATTCAGCAACAATGACACTTATGTACTACTCCCTCGGTCCCATAAAAGGTTACACATTTACTTTTTTGTTCGTCCCAAAAAAAATTCAAAATTTGTGGTCTATACAATTCCTCTGTGCATCACTTTCAACCATACAATTTCACTTTTCTTAATCTTTTCTTTTTGGGGACGGAGGAAGTACAACTTTAATATAAACTGATTCAACACGTTCATTCAACGGGCTTAGTCAAATAAGTTAGTGTTTGGTAGAAAATAACTCTGTCAGACAACCCTAAATGTCTTCTGGTCTACAAAATAGTAGTATAAGAAAATATATGAAAAGGACACTTGGTTTACAAGAAGCAAAAGAATTTAAAAAAAAAAAGGCAAAGTGTAAGAGTCTTACCAAGATAACATGGCAGCAGTGCTGATGAATCCAACCCCAAAAGAAAACAGCGGCACCAACCCATATGTACCATTTTAGATACCTCAGAGGATTTATAAATCCCCACAAATCAGACTCAGCTACTCGCATTTTATACTTCCCCGTTACAATTAACTCTTGGAGCAAACTCAACCCGAAATTGAAAACCTCTGGTACATAATTGCAGCAAAGAGATAAAGGAGCTGCTACATAGAAACTGTGTAGATACAAAAGTTAGGTACAAAAGCAATATAGAAATTGTTTTTTATACGGCTGCTTACATATTTTTTTTCAAAATTGAATGTCTTAGTATCTAATACTCCTGCCGTCCTTAAAAGTTCTGGTTTGTTTTTTCACGGATTTTAAGAAAAAGTAAAATTCTATGGTGGTAGTTTTTGCAGATGAAAGAAATAATGTGAATCACTTATTCCCTTCCGTAAATGGAATACGAACTTTTTTTTTGGGACAGATAAAAGTAAAGTGGGGAGTTCTTTTAGAGACGGAGGTAGTATCATTCTAAAAAACGTTTCACGTTACATATTCAGTGTGCTAGTTTATTGAGAGCAATGATCAGATTCAATTAAGATCATGAGATGCAAGTCATGTGATAGAGCATCAAATATTCAAATGATTGTGAATCGGAGTCAAGAAGCCACTAGTAGTCAAGTACAAGACAGAAATATGACATTAAATATGCCACATTCTATGCAATATACTCCCGTCCTGAAATAAACTTCATATTGACCTTTTTTGTTGTCTCAAAATTAACTTCACACTTTCTTTTTTTGGTTGTTCCAAAATAAAATATCACACTTCTCATTTTTCTTTTTATCTATTACTGACTTATGTAATAAAATACTTTGTATAAAAAAGCCAATAAAGAAACACCCAAGCACACTTACAAAAAGCCCACAAAGTAGCCCAAAATGTGCATTCTAGCAGATGAGCTGTACTTGAATACATATATTGACTCATAAAGGCGTCGCAATGCTTGGGTCTCCATTAGTAAAAGCAGAAAGACAGATTGAAGAACTCCACTTCTGTTTTCCTTCGTTGAATGACATGCATAAACCCACATCGCAACCAGCAGAAGTATTGACCAAAGAGAAGCAAGAATGTAAAAATGACAGAAGAATTTCTGTGGGACAGTAAATTTCTGCATTCCAGTAAAAAAGGTTTCTTAACAAGGTTTTGGGAAGAGCAAAAGAAATTTAAAACCAAGAAAACGGATTGCAATAAACATCAAGACAAATGAAACTAATTATTTGCATAACGAATGAACCGAGTTTGAGTCTAATTCATCTTTTGAACAACAAATGATATATGTGCGCATAAGTGAACTATCGATATTGGGAGTTGGCAAATACCCCGGAGTAACTGAGCTATTGATAGTGGGAATTTGCAAAAGCCCAACTTTTTTTTCTAAATTTAACTCCACATTGATTATATATACTTTGTCAATGAAGCAACTCAACCACAAGCTCAAGCTTGTGCCTATAGGTTCAAGAAAGCTTTTATACTTCACTACACCCTTGGAGACGAAACTTGTTTCTGAACATTGTCTTTCTAACTCAGTGGCGGTGATGTTCAAACTCATGACCTCTATCTATAATAGCAAGACTCTGATACCGTGTCAATGAACCATTAAATCGATAATTAATCCAATCAACTAAAAAGATTTTATAGGAAGGATTTTATTCACTTGTAATCAGTCATCTTTATACTCTTATATTCAATCATCTTGTAGGTCAAGAAAGATTTTATACTCTTAAAACATATTCCATAATTAATTCAATCAACTAATAAAAAGTCAAAATCACTTACATTGGATGGAGACCGCATGATCTTGCCTCGCTTAGCAAGGCCCAGCAACAATTCGTGAAAGAAACGAAGCTTAGATGAAGGAATCAAAGCAACGAGAATGGGAAGAATTGCTGCAATCCATGCTGCTCTCAATACAGCGACCAGCTCGAGCTCCATGGCCGCCCAGAAACAGTAATTCCGGTGAGGGTAAGCAGAAATCAGCGATTCTGATTCAACATTCCACAACTTTTGATTTCCATACTTCCATGGCCCAATCTATTCTGATTTTATTCCCGAAATTAGGGTTAAATTAGTCTTCACAAATTAGTCTTCACCTCGTGACTATGAATGATACTACTTTCTTCTATGGCCAGTTCGCCACCCGTCTCGTCTTCTTCTTGTTGCTGCTTGGCCGCTCTCCTTCTCACTTTTCTGTGTACTGGTTTTTTTACCTTGATAGAAAAAATAGAGGTTCAATTCTACTCCGTATTTGTTTCTATTAGAATAAGTTTTGAACTTATTACATCATGTCTGATTTGATTTAAATGTAACTATTTGTTAAGTTGTTTTTGGTCTGATTCAATTAAAAATAAGTAATAAGTAAAACAATAAGTTAAGAAGAACATGATCTAATACTCCAAAAACGAATGTCACATTATACAAAATGAAGTAAAAGTTATACTTCCTCCCGTCCTAAAACTATTTTATTTTGACTTTTTTATTATTAAAGTGTGATACATTTTTACCACAAATTGTGTGAAAAAATATATTTAATTATAATATAAATTTAATATAATTGAGTTCATCTTAGGATATAATTTTGATTTATCAAATTTTTATATTATATGTTTATTTAGATTATGTTTAATTTATTGTTAAAGAGTGTCACTATTTGACTAAAAAAATCAAAACAAAAAATGTTTTTAGGACCCAGAGAAGTAATTTTTTTAAATTTATTTGATTAAAAAATTAGTATATAAATAAAAAAATATGAATAAAATTTACATATTTAAAAATAACATCCAAAGTTTTATAAAATAAAAAGTGATAAATAATATTTTATTTTACAGATAATTAATGAAAACATAAAAATTAATAAAAATTCTCATGATTTGTAAATAACAAAGTGTTACGTACTTACACTTTTTTAGACGTAAATAGTAATTTGAAAATATTTACAAGAAATCTAATAAAATAATATTTGTATCAATATCTAATGTGATTAAAATTTTTCAATTTAAATGCGAAAAGTGATGGATATCTGAGTTAGCAAGTAGAATAAGTATGTCCAAGAGGCGCTATCTGGGTCTGGCCCGCAGAACCGGATCGAAAATAGAAGTTGATCGCAATCCCACCGAATGTGGGTAATTGACAGCTGATTCATCGTTCATAATTGCTGCATGGCCAATCATATCGACAACGTGTCGCACGAAAAGGGAGGTAAGGGGACGTGCGGAAAAGGGAGGGGAACACTACCCCCTTTTTGTGGGAACGGTAAGAGCGTGGCTCCCTCCTTGTTTTTCCCATTGGCTAACAGTCAATTTCTTTTCTTTTTTTTGAAAAATTAGCCGTTAGGCCTAAAAAAATTCAAAAAATTTTAAAATTTTCACTATTTAAACACAAGACTCTACTCATATTTTCACACACTTTCTATTCATTTCTTTGAGTTATAGTGCTATTTTTGTTAACAATTTCTATACATTTGATTGTCAAGGATCCATTCTAACCACCGGTTAATTGTTATAGTGCTTATTAAAATTTTATATTCTCATAATATGTTCAATTTTATATTTCTTAAAATGTTCAATTATTTTACAATTCTAATGTTTTTAGTTTATTTATTTGAATTAAAATAAGTATTAGAAAATAATATTAAAAGTTTGGGAAAAAGGGAAGCATTTCCATGGAAGAAGAAAGAAAATGGAAAGAAAAATAAAAGCTGACGTGATATTGACTTGGCAGAAGTGAAAAATGATAGGCACACCCCATAGGCTTACACTTACACGTTTGCCTTTCATTTCAACGAAAAAGTTCCTCCATCTGTTCTTGTTATAAAACTTTTTCTCAGTTACTATCATGATTACTTTATTTACATATTTTTGTTAGTTATTTGATAAAATAATATATCCTAGTCATCTCTTATTTTATGGAACTTTTTATGTAATTTACAAATATATAAATTTTATTTTTTAATTTTACATCTAATCAAAAAAATTAAATTTAAAATAAATCAATTAAAAATCGTAAATAGAAACAGGAAAAAGTTTTTGGACAATATTGGACCGGTTTTCATGTAGCTTGGAAACTTCCTGAGCGGATTCCCACGGTTCCCACCTTCAACCGAACCGGAATTACCACCGTTAGGATATGAACCGGAAGAGCCCACCATGAAGTTGTACCGTGACTCCAGTGTGGCAGTGAGAGGGAAAATAGGAAGAAGGAAATGGCGTCAAAGAAGGAATCTCCACCTGCAGATTCTCATGGAATGTTCTCCGGAATGGCCGTCTTGTTAGTCGGAGAAGGTGTCCAAGCTCGCCGATTACAGGTTTTCCGGTTTTGTCATCAGCCGTTAGGTTTCTCCACTAAATTCCATACAAATATCATCAACCGTTTATGAAAATAATAATCCTGTTAATGGCCTTTCAATTCAGATATGGAAGCAGAAATTGATGCAGATGGGAGCGAGTATCGAGGACCATTTTTCCAGAAAGGTTACGCACGTTTTCGCCATGGGCTCCGATTCGGTTCTCAAGGAGCTTGATCGCGAGCGGCTGATTCGTTACAAAACTGTGAGCTTAGATTCCTCCACATATGCCTCTTTATCGAATCACTCTTTTAGCTTTTTTTCTGATCGTGATATGTTTTTTTTCTATGTATTGTATTCTGATTCCATACTGATATTTGAATTGCTTTAGTGTCATCTTCACAAATTTTTATTAAGAAGAGGAGCTTGAAATTATGCCATGTTGAGCTTTTATTCAAGGAAGACCTAGAATCTGCTTAACTATGCAATTTGATTCCACCAAGATCTTGTGGATTATTATTATTATTATTATTATTATTATTACGGAGTATAATAATAATAATAATAATAATAATAATAATAATAATAATTATTATTATTATTATTATTATTATTATTATTATTATTATTATTACTTTAATGGTTAAGTAGCATGAAGTATTTAGCTATCTATTATTATTTTAGTTCTCTTCTTCTTCATTGTGTTATTGGAGTTTGGTTTGAAACTTCGCTTGTCACTCAATCCCACCTTATTACTTTTCATACTTTCTCTGTTTCTTCTCATTTGATATAATGGCTTCTTCGCTGTTGCAATGGGCGCACAATTAAATATGTCAACTGACGTTTCTGTGCAGACTTGGGATTTTAAAAGTTTTCCCAACATGTTTTTTTTATTTAGCATTCTGTAACCATTTTGGAAAAAATTATGACCACGTGTTGTCTGAACTCTGAACCAAGTTCTCCATTCTTTTTCTAATTACATTATATTCAGAAAGTACTCCTATATCAGTGGCTAGAGAGCTGTTTGAGAGAGGGAAAAGCGGTGCCTGAGGATTTATATGTCATAACACTCGAATCTGGAGGAGGGAAAATTCAAACTTTGTCTGCAGAACATAAAAGCTGCTCTGATGAACAGAATCCAAAGAAGAGCAGAATCTCTTCTGAAAGAGAAAATGTTGCCAGCCCAGAACGCAATACGGACACTGAATACTGCAGTGGCAGTTCATGTGACTCGGATAATAAATCACACTTTTCAGGCGCAGAAATTACCAGTGAAGTTGCCCGTAGTCATCATGATAATGTTGTATGCAATCTGTGCTCTTACAAACAATATTGAATCCCCAATTCTTACGAACTTCAAATAGCATATATGGAGTAATTGTTTACAGAATCATATTCAACTTTCTCTACATTATTTCTCTCATTCCTCAGGCCCCTCCAGTCATTATCATAGCCTTTTTTTCTATTTTGGGTTTTGAATATTTACATCATTTATTGAGCAGGACATCACTTCAGATTCATCATTTCTTTATAAACCTCCTGACTTAAACAAGAATGTCACTGAGATATTTGGAAAGCTTGTCAGCATTTGTCGAGGTACATTGTTGATTGTCCCACTTTTTCCCTTTTTTCATTTAGCTGTCAATCATATATCAATTTTGAACACAATATGACCCTGTTTGGTGCCTTATGTGAAGTACCTGGTATTCGTTAATAGCACTCGGTGATGATAGGAGGTCATTTAGCTATAACAAGGCCATCTCGGTTATTGAGAAACTACCTTTCAAAGTTGTGAATGTGGACCAGGTCAAACACCTTCCTAGCATTGGAAAGTCAATGCAGGATCATGTAAGTGAAAAGCTATTTCCTCTATTATAATTATTAATGTGGTTGATGCTTTAGAATCCTTTAATTTCATGCCATTTCAGGTGATTATATTAATTTAGTTGATATGTGTTGATGATCATTTGCAAGTTCATTGTTGAATGATATAGTAGTTCTGGATTTTGATTTTTTAAATCATGATATCAAAAATTGATTTTGGGCATTTTGCTGGAAAATATCTGCCTTCAGTATGCAATGAAGAATATAGAAATTGAAGCAGTGTTCCTTTTGCAGATTATGGAGATAGTGAACACTGGGAAGCTATCCAAATTGGAGAACTTTGAGAAGGATGAAAAGGTCATGTTCATTTTTTCTTTCTTAGTAAATCTATGAAATGTGTATGGTCATTAAATGATTTTAGTACGGAGTATTTTGTTTCCTTTGGTGGAACAGCCTCTTCCTTGTGTCCCTTTCTGAAAGTTAAAAATACAGGGCACCTAGAAATTGATGTTGCTAGAATTTCCCAGGTTCGAACAATCAACTTATTTGGAGAAGTATGGGGCATTGGTCCAGTCACTGCTATAAAACTCTATGAGAAAGGGCACCGAACCCTAGATGACCTAAAGAATGAGGAATCCTTAATAAATTCCCAAAAGCTAGGTTTAAAATATTTTCAGGACATCAAAACAAGGATCCCACGTCATGAGGTTGGTTTCTCGTGATCTTCAAAACATTCTTTTGTAGCTTGAAAGATTTTCTACCATGTGCTGATCTATCATGTAGATTGAAGAGATGGAGCAACTTTTGCAGAAGGCTGGAGAAGAGATTTTGCCTGGAGTAAGAATTGGGTTCTTATGTGAATACACAGTGCTACTGCTTAAGCAATATGGATTTCTAGATATATGCTATTGTTACTTTCACATAGTAACGATTTAATTGAAGTTGGCTGCAGAAACTTGGACATTTATTGTTTGGAAAAGCATGCCTTTTGACCGCTTGATCTTGCCGCATACTTCTGTCTATTTTTATGATATAATCTGAAAGGGCTATGAATGACTCCCATATGTACTTGCATTTTAGGCCAGCAAGCACAAAAGAACTAATTCATTAGTGTATTACTCTATATATCCTTTGGTCATCACTAATAATTTATCAGGTAATGATTCTGTGTGGGGGATCATATAGACGTGGAAAGGAATCCTGTGGGGATATGGATATAGTTATCACTCACCCTGATGGAAAAAGGTAAAAACGGAAATGCTTGTGCACTATATCTCTAATGAGTGTTTGAACAGTATGTGGGGTTTAAGCACATTTCTAATAAAGCAAAGTTAAATGCATCAGAACTACAAATTGTCAACAACAACAACAACAACAACAACCCAGTTGAATCCCACTACAGTAGGGTCTGGGGAGGGTGTGTGTACGCAGACTTGCCCCTACTTTTGCCCCTACTCGAAAGTAGGGAGGCTGTTTCCAAGAGACCCCCGGCTCAACCTGCACAAAAAGTATGGTAGAGAACACAATATAACAGGATAACAAGATATAACAGGATATAACAAGATAAAGCACCAAGTACAATGAAATGAAAGTCCAGCAAGCAAAAGTAGAAGATACCAAACAAACACAACACACTACAAAAACCTCTACAGCACCGAGCTCCTAACCAGCTACTCTAATCCTAGTCCTCCAAAGGTTCCTATCTAAGGCCATATCCTCAGTCAGGGTGAGAAGTCCTAAATCCTGCCTAATCACCTCCTTCCAATTCTTCCTAGGTCTACCCCTTCCCCTACTTCCCCCGATAACCGTGATCCTCTCGCACCTCCGCACAGGGGCATCAACATCCCGCCTTCTCACATGCCCAAACCATCTCAACCTCGCTTCCCGCAACTTATCCTCCACCGGCGCCATGCCTACCTGACGTCGGATAACTTCGTTCGAAATCCTATCCAACCTTGTCTTCCCACACATCCATCTTAACATCCGCATCTCTGCCGCATGCAAACGACGCACATGAGTCTTCTTAACCGCCCAACACTCTGCCGCGTATAACATAGCAGGTCTGACTACGGATCGGTAGAACTTACCTTTCATCCTG